TATATAAGAGAGAAGTGGGGGCGCTTCAAAGGAGAATTGGTCAGGCTCAATTCTTTAGAAACTCTTGCAGAACTAGGACATGTTCATGCCCAACAAAACCATAAGAACGGAACTAAAAAGAAATGGTTTCTATGTATTGTATGTTGGTTTCTTTACACAATACAGCCGGACAGTTCAAGGACATCAGATCTACTGGACATTTAGTAAAGCAGACATACATTTCAAGGGGGAAGTTCGAAGGGTAATACCTACTTTCTCCATGAAGGAATCCATTGATAAATATCAACACCTTGCCAGAAACAATTTCCATTCATGTAGGGGATTGTTGGAAATATAGTTATTTATACGTGTGAATGAGAAATGTGTTTCTCATATAATTGGAAATAGAGTATGAGCTAGTTGTTGCTTGACTCGTGTGTAGGTGCAATCTGCACACACGAATGTCAGACCGTATTTTGTGGACCTGATCAACCTGTGTCTTCCAATCGGTTAGGAATTTCCAATGCCATCATTAAAGTGGTTATGACCGGCATTAAAAGGGTCATTATTCTCATCCGTTTTTTACATGAATTTGTGAATAATGAGAATAATAAATTGACCGCTTTTATGACGTTTAATATGGATTAAATTTGTTGTAATTAATTAATTTAATCCAACAGTTTTGTAACCTTTCTTTTATATCTATAAGTGCTAGAAAATATCCAAGAATTCTTTGAACTAAAAAAAAACATGACCCAACTTTCTGTATTCTTCTATTAGCCAAATTCTCCTAACCTTTCTTTGGTGTTCATCGAAGTTCTATTTCCAATTTGCCGGTGATCTAGTCTAAGTGGAAGACTATATCACGTCCTCCGTTGTATCCTGGGAGAGAGATGCCCTTCCATCCTCTATCACTCTGTGAGAGGGAGCGAATCTATTTTAAGGAAAACGTGATTCTCTTGCCTCAAAATATCTTCTTTCTTATAATGTCATTGCTTTCACAAATACCTTCATTTATTTTTACCAACAAACTCATCAGCGCAACCTCATCTTGAATGCCTTAGCATCCACAGTATGAAACTTCCTGAAGACTATGTGACAAGCAAACAGGAACCTCCTTGGGATCTTTCCAACATTCCCCTTGATGATCAGTGCGCAAAAAATCTAAATATAGGCTCACATATGGTTCCACCTCAAAACTAATTGGCAATGAGGAGAATAGCACAAGGGATTTATATGTTGATTTCAAGAGTCTCCATCCATCCATGTGGGACAAGGGAACTTGGGCAAATCACAATATTTTAATATTCTCAACACCGAACTTAGGCAAATCACAATATTTCAATATTCTCAACACCCTCTCTCAAGCCTGAAAGGGTTGGACAGTAGATGCCCAGATATTACTGGGTAAGTAGAAAAAATAGAAATAGAAGGCTTAGATTTTGGTAAGTAGAAGAAGTAGAAATAGAAGGCCCAGATTTGGGTAAGTAGAAGTAGAAGGCCCAAACGAGTAAGTAAATTAGACACCGAATATAACTGCAGTCAAAGCCCATCTCACAAGTCTCACAGGTCTGTGAATAAAATCCGCTCTGATACCATCTTCAAGACCCAAATATATGCCCACATGTGGTTCCACCTCAAAACCAATTGGCAATTATGGGAGTAACACATGGGGTTGCTATGTCAGTTTCAAGAATCTCTATCCATCCATGTGGAACAAGGGAATTTGGACAAATCACAATATTTCAATATTCTCACCATGAAATTGTAAGGACTAGGACTTGTAATTTGATTGCGGATTGGAGCATAACAGTCAAGACTCTCCATTGGCCGCAACAACACCGCATATACAATTCGGTTAATCTCTCAAACCTTACTGAAAATGAGGTACTGGCATTGCTAATGTACTTTATCCTACTTCTCTCTAAAAACAGAAAGCTTACAACCTGGTGAAGATCTTGAACCAGCTTTACAGTCGGATTACATCCGCGAGTACTGACTGGAGGATGATCGCGACGAGGTTGGCCATTTCACCAGTACAAACTCCTTGCAATTGAGATCCGACAAGTAGATGGATTTGAGTGGTGGTGTATCTAATTCCAACCTTTTGATTCCTGGCTTTTGTTCCACGATGAGTAGATCAAACTGTATCAGGGAAAGAGAAGAAAGTTTGTATACCATGTTGTGATCAACCTTGCCCTAAAACAACATCCTGAGATTGTGGAGAACAGGAGAACCAGATATAAGTGTCTGGGTAGACTCAACTGATCCTCCATATTTAGCTACAACAAGATCAAACTTCTCCAGTTTTGGAAGACCTTCATTCAAGTGATAGAATTGGGCTTGACATTAAATTAATTTTATCGGGCCCAAAATGAAAGCCTCTCGGCCTTAAACCACATAAACCGGCCGGATCAAATTGTCAGAATCTAGTATGGTCAGCTTGGTGTCAAATTCTCGGCAGCTAGCTCGGTTTAGTTTTATTGCAAATCGTATGTTCTGGTTTGGCTTAGTGTAGGTCCTGGTTTGGAAGTTGGAGGTCATGATTTCGAAACTACCATGCAGCATTTTTACTATTTTCATCTTTTATAGGGTGTTGGGCCTTCATTCAGTTGATATAATTAGGCTTGACATTACATTAATTTCACTGGGCCCAACATGAAAGTTTCTTGGGCCCAACTGCATATACTGGACGGACCAAACCGTCAGAATCCAACCCGGATAGTTTGTTCCCAAGTTCTCGGCGGCTAAGTCGGTTTAGTTTTATCGTAAACCATATGTGCTGGTTTAGTTTCGGTTTAAGGGTTCAGATCGGTTTATCAAACCGGCTAAACCGATCGATGCACACCCCTATATACTGCAAATGGAATTATTTTAGATCACACACGATCTTCTTTAAGTTCATAGTCTTTGGAAATTCAGACGTAAGTTGCTAATTGGACCAAAACACAGTATAGAGATCAAGAATTTCAAATTGTTGAAGATATGGACACCACTGATTAAGTCAATAATAACAACCTCGACTAAGCAAGATGAGCTTCTGTAACCTATGTACTATGTTATTCATCATGTTTATGCTTTATTTATGTTTTACCTTTTTTTTTTCCTCTCAATCTTTTACTAACTTTAACATTGGAGTACTAATAATTATTTTGTAGGTCTCGAGGTACCTTTATATGCGTTGGTCGACATGAACGATATTTTTATTGAAATTGACAAATTCTAATTATTTTTCTAAAGGAACTTTTTGAATACTATTTTTCCAAAGTGAATATAATAAGTTTTTGTAATGCTCTAATTTATCTTGTTTTTCATTGTGTAAAAATTAAGCATATTGTAAAGTAAATTCTCTTTCGAGTTAAAAGTGGTTTGGTTTGATCTACTTTATGAAATTTGTTTAAAATCGTAACTGTAAATGAAACTGAAACCGAAATCGAAATTAGAACTGTAACCCAACTAAATCTATCTATCTTAGAACCATGAATCAATAGTTCTGAAACCGTGATCAAGGCTAACGACACGATAGTACAAAGGAAAACATGTCACAGTTGAGGAAGTGACAAAACCTAGGGAATTAGCAAAAGTTTAAGCAAATAGCATTGACAAATCTCCTTACAAACAAAAGACCCAACACGATACATTCTCCGATCATCATGAACACAGAGAATTAACAAAACCTCGTGTAAGCAAATAGCATTCGCAAACACCTCACAAACAAAAGACTCAACACGATACACTCCCAAATCATCAGGAGAAACTCATTTGAAAATCACAAGCATCGGTTCATATTTTCTTTGACAACCTATCATACATATATATACATATATATATATATATTAAAGGAAAGGAGATGGAGTGATGATGTGTCTTTTAATTGCCTATAATTGATTTCTTGAACACATGTTATTTAATGATTGGTCATTCATGAAACAGTTAAAAGTATTTAGTTAAAACGTTAAATGCAAAGTTACTTTTTAATCGTTTTACATGGTATGTTAAATAAAATATGGAGAACATAAATGTATTCAGTCAACTTTTATTTTATCTACACATTTGAAATTCAAAATAGTCTTGATTTTACGGATAATATTCCAAAATAAAAAATTCATATCATAATCTACATTTAATCACTCACCTACTACAATTAGGATTCTTATAACAAAGAACATAAAACTTCATGAATACACCATCTCTAATACATATACGAGATAATAGGTCTTATAATGGTATAAAGTTTCATCAAATCTTTTTTTTTTTGGGTCTCAATCTTAGTTTTATTTTTATTTTTTGCCCAATACGATTGTTATTACTTGTGAATAACCTCTGGCTAAAATTTGTTTTTAACCTGATGGTGTTGATACTTTTCACTGAAATGGAGAAATGTGTTGGATCTTTTTATAATATCTTATTTTTGAAAAAAATTGTGGCATGTTTAATCTATTTGCAATATTCGGGTATATATGCGATGAGCAACCTGAGCATATTTGAATAATTTTGTTCACATTCTTTTAGTTTTTAATGTTTTAGTTAATTTTAGATTACCAATGTTTAAAAGTGTGTGGCTTAATTCTTTGGGTCCTAGGTGGAAAATTGAGAGACTTAAAAAGAGTTGTGCCTATTTTTAATCGACATATTTTGATCATTCGTTAAAGAGTTAATTTAAAATTGAGTTTATTATCTGTTAAAAGTCAACTACTATATTGATTATTGTTTTCGGTTTCTGCTACCACTAATCCTTTCATTTTTTGTGATTGTTTTACAACCTTTAAATTAGTTTTATTCAACATAAGATTTAATTAGAAACTTATTGTTGATTCAATCCATGAGATTGAAACAGTGGTACTACCAGCTGAAAAATTTTAATTCTGGTGTAATTTCTTTTAAAAGGTTCTTTAGATAAAAAATTTTCTTTTTTTACCATTATTTTAAAACACATCTGAATGAAAAACAATTTGTGATACTTTAGCAACGATTTTGATTGCACTGTACTTGGGATTTTGCATGAAAAATTACATCATTAATAATTATCATGGCCATTTATACTTAAACTTTCATGGAAACTCATATCATTTAAATTTTAACGTAATATCTAACGTAATATCTAAAACTCGCCATGCACCACACGGGAATAATACTAGTACAGATAAAAATACAAAAAGAAAATAATTTTTTTAAAAAAAAAAGACCACACAACTGATTTTCTCCTTGACCCTGTACCCCCCCCAAGAGAAAAAACAGTGTTAACTATGTTATTAATAGAATAGAATTAATGTACATTTCTAAGGTATAGCAAAATCGCTCATATGTAGCATCCAAGATCAGATAGAAAAAGAAGGAAAACATCCTAAGATTAACAGAATTTGGCATTACTGTGCTTTTGCTTAGCCTTGTGTTTCAATCTTCATTCATCATCATTATCATCATCGGAGCTCTCATACGCACTTAGCAAGCTCTTGACAGGGTTCTCTTCCATCTTCGGATCGTTGGAAGACACTGGTTTTGCCTTAGCTGGAGATAGCTCCTTCTCTGGAATCCGTGCTAACGCCACCTCTTTCATGTCAGATCTCTTGTTGTGGCCATCTGAACCGTTATTACCACTTGAAGAAGAAAAGGAGGACAGCGGCGGGTTTCCGTCAGAACTATTTGAATGTTTTTGTCTCTTTGGTTTCACTTCAACCACCCTTTTCAGTAAATCTTGTTGTCTACACAATACACAGTGGCATGTCACAAGGTAAACTTTTTGAATTCGGAATAACAAACAAAAGGGAGAGAGCGAAGCAGCAAAAAGGGATACCTGATCCCGCTCTTTGGCTTAGGTTCAACACGAAGTGGCAACGGTACGGGTGCTTGTGAAGTATCTGCAACAGCCTTGTGCTCAAAAGGTTAAGGAACAAATAACGTGAAGGTCAAAAAGAGAAAGAATAATTGTGAACAGGATGAACGGCAATAGACTAAGGGAGATCAATCTTTGCTCCCCAGTAATAATGCCTAGACAGGAAGATACCGATCCAAGTTGACGCTTTTGTATTCCACAAGGGCTGGGTGGCAAATCATCAACTAGTGACAGTACAACACCAACGAGATAGGCAAAGCCAAGGTGACTAACTCGTTGCTTCTCCACCAAATTACAGAACTTCTCTTCAGAAAAGTTTAATTAAAGAACATTTACCGATAGTTTATTGACACATGGTATTTAAGACAATAAAAGGATATCTTGAATGCAGCAAATGCACGTTTCTCAGTGCGTCTCAGAAGCCGTTCGGCATCCTCCTCGGCTTCCATTTGCTCTTTTAGATAAAGTAAATCATCACTGTCCAGGGCTGCACAAGTAATTTCGAAAAAGAAAAGGATAAATTTAACATTGGATTGAATTAAAAGGCAAAAAAAAGTCAAACAGAGTATCTGTCAATACCTCCGCGCCCGTGAAGATAGCCGCCTCGTTCTCCTGCAACTTCTTGCATCTGAGGCGCATATTAGCCAACCCGGAGAGAAGCGAAGATCCCTGCCGGGGCATGTTATCAGAAAAAGACTTCCCAGAGAATCGTAACTTCTTGAAATAAAAAATAACCAACATACAAGTTCATTATCTAAGAACCATTAGCATAAGAACGAAAACAACTAAGAGGTGACCCATTATATACAAAGATTGGCTATATAGATTCTAACAGTATCTATTTGATACCTCTCCAAACAGTGAACAACTAGTTCAACAATTCTCATGTTTTGAGACAACAATAAACAAAAGTACCTTTATCCTACTAGCATGAACTAGGAGGTCATATGAATGCCAGACACATTTTTGCGTTTAAGTTTCAGATTTTCAGCTAGTTCCTTTGCACCCTTGTTGTTTTTTTGGTCCCATCCCCTTTAACTTGCAGTCCTAAACATGTTTATAATGGATGACATAGCTTTAAATTTATTTTTTTTTAAGAAAAATAAACCACGTAAATTAATCATGGTTGGCAACGTAATTGCAATCGATCGAAAAGGGGTAGAATGAATAATAAAGAGCGTATTTTGTATCGATTGGAGTGAAAAAGCGAAAGTAACCTTGGCAACCATACGCTGGAAGGTGAGTTCTTCATCGTCAATCCGTTCTTTACCCTTTCCTCCCCACTTTTTGTCTGAAAAAAACCCATCAAAACCAGAAACGAAAGAATTAGCAATTGAAGATTTTTAGGGCAAAATTGAAATTAGGGCAATAAAGAGATGAATGAATGAAAAGAATACCTTTAGGATCGGTAAGGTTAGTGTATTCTCGAACTTCTCTTCCCGCCATAGGGATCGTAATCAATTCCTTACTCTTTTTTTTTTCTTTTTTTTAAAAGATGGAATTCGATTATTTGCAGAGTTCAAGCAGCGAGCGGGAGCTTGGGGAAGACGACGATGAAAGATGGATAGATATACAACTAATATAGTAAGTGTTATTCTTTTTCCAGTCTTGGCTTATAGGGACCTACTTTACATACACCCCCCTTAGGCTTATAAAAACCTACTAAATGTCCCATCTATTTTGAGAAAATTATGAAAAGTCACAGTATTTGTGAAGCCAATTACAATTAACCCCTTAGTGTTTGAAAATCAACAACAAGATTATGCAAAAATTTAAAATAGGTTTCCGATGAAAATGTGGAAAGGTTGGGGGAATTGTGATGAAAATTTTCAAATATTTCATGGTTTATTACAAGTTTTCCATTCCTTTTGTCACTCTTAAATTTATTTGGTTTAGTTTCTTGAACAAACTCCTGTTCCGTGCTCATGACAAGTATTGCAGAGAAAACATTAACTAATCTCAATTTCATTATGACGCGCATAGTTATAAGTCTAAAGGAAAATACCAATGGGAAAATGAAGCACTTAGCCGAACTCTATTCTGTACAAGAGATGTGAAAGGCTAAACACATATACATTCAAGAAAAAATCAAGTGCTAATTTATTGAAGTACAATAAGGGTAATTTATCTATAGTATATAGAGAAACCAGAGAAAGAAATTAAAGGTTACTCTTAGAGTGTCACATAGAATTTTCTATGCATTCTCAAATCAGATAAGTTTCTGTAACTGTGGAACAAATCCTCTCATTTTAGGCGAAAAACAAACCGTTACAGATCAATTTTCCAATATTACCCCACAAATCAAGGATATAATATTCATAACAAAAAACATTATTATTTCTAAAGGATTTCCTGTCGACTGTGCTTCATGCAGTAGATTGTCTATAGATGCTATAACTAAAAGTTATAAAACCACCCGACGCACATAACAGACGATCTAGAGATCCCTCCGGGTCCAGAAAAGGAGGCATAAGACTACTACAGAGAGCTCTTGCCACACTCCCGAATCACCATTCTGCGACTTTGCTCACGATCTTTGTTGATGCGCCCCAGATCTTCCCACACATCCCCAGTTTTGTTGAAGTGGCGCTTTTGCCATTCCACTACATCATCACCATCGACCTCCACTGAAAATCCGGCTCTTCCAATGTGGAAAACTTACACAAGAAAAAGAACACCAAAAAAAACAACACACTCATCAGGGGGCTATTAAATTTGGATGGAGAGAGTAACCAGAATGTAACAATCCTCAAGTAAATTAACGTGTGAGAATAGAAGTAGCCAGAAATCCCAAACTTACCACTGAAACGGCGACTGCGTTCCGGCGCAAAATATGCACCCAAACAAAGTGCATCTTTGGCTAACTCCGTAGCTTCAGCCTTGGACATGCTGTGGATGGGACTACAGAAAACCAGAAACAAGTTCTTAAGAGTCGCGTAAAATCAGGAGAAACAACAACAACATGATCTGAAAATAAAACCCAACATCAATTAAAGCAAATGCAGTGTCTGATGCATCAAGAAGGCCACATATCAATTCCTATATATTAATTAAGCTAGGCAGGCAACCACCATCATGTTCATGCGTTGTTTATACAAGGGAGATGAGGCATACCTGTCAAGAAATATAGAACGAGCACCTGACCCTGATCCAGTTCCAACCCATGGTTGGTCAGGTGGTTGTTTAAGCAGTGTCCCCTTGCCGTTCACTTTATACAGAACAGGTCCCTACAGAAAGTAAAATCATGACTAATTCTGAAAAACAAAAAAGAAGGCAACACATTCAAACCAAAAAAAAAAAAAAGGACAGACAACATTCTAAGATTACCAATTCCTTGTCCCACCCAGCGATCAGTACTCCCAGTGATTTGTCCCAATCACTGTCAGGTTTACGAGACAGAGAGTCAGCCAGCCACTTGGACGCTTCAGCAGCAGAAACTTTTTTCTTCTTGTATTCAAGCTCGAGGCACTAAAACACATACAATTCCCACATGAATCACAAAAACGAATATTTCTTAAATTGCAGTTGAAAGTTGAAACAGCAAAGATAGCATGCACAATGTAGATTAGCCGAAAATACCATATTTGGCAGATCTTCGAGCAGAATTTTGCACGAGTCTTTCGTCCCTCCAGAAAAAGCTACAACCAGGTGTGAATGGAGCACCTTAAAATTGTTTGGATATGCACGAGATGATAGGCTTGGATGATCAAGGGCAACCATGATCCCTTCATTGTTGAAAATGAAACCCAAGGCAGTGGTTCCCTTTTCCCGCGTAGGGTACACTTTCCTCTGTAAACAGCAGCACACAAACAATAAAAGAAAAAAAAAAAATCAAACCAATGGAAACCATTTGAAAAGGTTAAGCATAAAAAAGGTAATCATATTAAAAGGAAAAGTTGAAGAAAAGAAATAACTACCTCATTGGTTAATGGCCTCTTCCTTTTCCGGCGAAGGACAGTGGTTGGAAAAGGGGTATTCGCCGAATCCATTGTTTCCGCCTTCAATACGAGCAAAACAAACAAAAATAAAAACATCAAGCCAAAATATAAATAATGGAAGAAATTCAACAAGCAAACTGAAATAGCAAAAGGAGATCTGGATCGGAGAAGAGAAGAGAATTCTAAAGTTTCAGAGATTTTACCTTTTCGCCGGCAGTAGACATTAAGGTTCACGACAGATTATATCAATCGCTCTTGCCTTCAATCAGAGCAAAACAACAAAATCAGATGAACAATCAAACAATCTTGATTTAACTAATTTAGTGGATTCCTGCCCTAATTTTTTTTTTTTACCGAACACGGTAGTATCCATGGAATACCTCAGCTAATTATATAGGAATAATATATACACCAGCTTGAATCGGACCCAAAACAGAAACAAACAGCATAAGAAACCCTAATTAGATGGAGTAAACAAGGGATCCGAAACCAGAGATGATTACGGAGGGAGTATTATGAAGATCATAGTCCCATAATTATTGTCCTGTTTGGACCTTGGAATTGTTGAAATATAAGTTTTGACTTCGATTAAAAGAAGGAAAGAAAGAATATGGTCTTGTGGGCTTTACACACACTGTGAGGGTAAAACACACTTAGTTATAAGAGTTAATGCTGCAAATCTTGTTGTAAATCACCATTTGGGTGGGTTTACTCTTTTTGAAAAACATCAACTAATCTTAATTTCATTATTATATCTTCCTCATTCTGCCTTTTGGACCGAAGGCTTCAGACTTGGAAACATTCATCTGCGGGTGAATATTCTAAGTTCCAAGGAAAAACGGGCCTGCAAAGGAACAACATCTCGGGATAAAAAAAAAATCTCACACCCACAAGTGACTTTGTTGTACAAACGGTGCGACCACTTTAGGTTGTTATACTCTAGAAGCTACAGTACTATAAGCTTGCTCGATTTCTTCTTCTGTCATCACCAATGTCTCATCACTATCATAACCCTCGTCGCCATCATCAACCCTTTCTTCCTCATTCTTCCGCTTCCCTGTCTCCTTCTGTGAAGCCCTCATCTTTTTCTTCTCACACTTTGTAATAGATGAATCATCACCACCTGCATCGACCGCTCGGTACTCTGCCGCGTAAATTTGTCTACATGCCATTGCATGCTTACAAAGTTCTTCCTTGCTCACTAAACCCCACTCGTCCTTGCTACTATTGTCATCATCATACTTGATCAGCTCCTCAACCACCCGGGGTATGCAGGCCCATTGATCACTTATCTGCTGGATGCGCTGCAAAACCAAAAATATAGCTCACACAACTTGCTCATCTTAAAACATTTTGACAGTCAATTCATTGACGATTACAGCAGTAGCAAAAAAAAAAAAAGATATTCACTCACAAGACAGTCCATATAAAACAACAACTCAACAAATTTTAGTCATAGCATCAAGAAATTTTAACAGAGGGTATTAGCAAGAGAAAGAGAAAGTGGTGCCACATGGCAAATTTGTAATTTAAACCTTCTTTTCAATCTGAGACCTGCATTTTAGCTAGTCATAGTAGCATAGTAGAACACTAAGGTCACCATTGTATACCGTACAAGAAAGAAATCATAAATCACTTCTGCAGATCATACTTGAGATTCTGCATAACACAACCACTACAAACACCAAATACAACATTCAAAAAAAACAAAAATGCATGTAAAGTTTCACAAACAGACGATAAGCCAACAAAGTTCTCAAGGCTAACATACCTGGCCGTGATCAAGAGTATCTATTGCATCCTGCAAACAGGTGAGGACCCCCTCTGCAGCTACTTTCTTTATTTCACTTTGCTCAGGCTGCACATATCTTGCAATTTTAATTTGTGTGTTATTTCAGAAATCTTCATAACTTCAAGAATCTAACAGCAGAAATACCAACCAAAGGTAATTTCATTTCATTCCACGAAGGCGGGATGCAAACTGAACACACACCCCATTACAAGTTCAACTAAATGTTATCAGGTAAGGAAGCGAAGAATCTCAGATCAGTTTCTTCTTATTCTTCCTGAAAGATGTCAATATCTATAATAATATATTATGAACCGCAGTTACAAAATAGAATAAACAAGTAATGGTACGTGTTCACTCTCAACTTTCTAAATAATAGCTTGAGATGTGATTAACCTTTTCATCTTGACTTTCCAGCCATGAAATGGTTTTAACCAGATCATCAGCAGCCCATTTCTTCACTCTAGAAGGAGAAAAAGAATCGCTGGCTTGGTTGAAAGGTTTACCCTGGATCAGAATCAGATGAAGATCAGACCATATCAACATTTAGATAACTAATTCAAATTAAAAATCAAAGCACCTTGAAATTTTCCCCCAAGTCCAAATGGGTTAAAGTTCTAAATCAAAGCACCAAAATGACACCACAAGACCAGAATGTAGTACCTCAGATGATGCACAAGACCGTGAGTTTAAGCTTTTATCGATGTGTTTGCTGGATTTCGGGGCTGATGGTGCTTTGTGATCTGCAAGAATCCGATCACTTTTAAGAAAAACGAACAGTATTCTTTGGGGAAAAAAATGAAATAGTGGAACCAAATTTTATACACAAAATAAACCAAATACATAATGTTTAAGATCATATTTTTCTTCCAGTTATCCATGGGGAGCATAAATGTCAAAAAATGAAGAGCAGAATAGAACTTAATAGGCTTTTTATATCCAGCAATATATATTTGATAGATGCGCAACCAGGTATAACTTATTCCAGAAAGAGAGAACGTATTTAACTATAAAACACGTAAGAAACAAAACTTCTGAGTATGCTTTGATCTCGCGTAACTACCCCATGAAAAATATATGATATAAAACTAGAAATCAACAGACAATTCGTTCATGCCTATGAGCCCAATTTCCCACTGGTGTATTCCAAGAAAGTCAAGTATTAAAATCTGAAAGAGAGAAACCTTGGCTGGGTTTTGCGGAAACACCACGTTGCGAACTACTCCTCCATGGTTTGCCAGCATGCAAAAGATAAGGCTCTATCTCAACAAGCTTTCTCTGATTGTAGCATTCTGTTATCCATTCCTATTGCAAAGGAACTTGTCACGCACATTAAAGAAAAGGAAGAAATAAGTGTAAAATATGCTATTCTTCATTCCTCAATTTGGTTCTGATGCACAAACAGTTTGGTTAAACCTTCAAACATGGAGATTTGATCTAATTTCTTCCATCGGAAAGATGTGTAATTCTTCTTATCCACATGGAAATTAATACAGATACAACAACAAACAACATTTCCAATCCCTTTTCAATTTCAGCTAATGATTCAGTAGCATCATGACATCCTAAGCATGCAAAATCAAAATCAACATAGAAAAAGGAAAAACCTTGGAGACTATGGTGCCAGAGCCGGCCTCCACTTGGTGAAACTTTGGTGTATTGGGAAATGCGCAAACCAGAAGCGTACAATCCGGGTTCCAATCGGGTTGGAAGCGAGCTCCCATTTCCAGAGCCCGGGACCTCAATTCCCCTCTTTCCGGGTTCACGAACCCGGACAACACAAACACCACTCCTTCCTGAATGAATGGAGGAGGGGGGGGGGGAAATCCCATAAAGTTCGTTAATTTATAACTCAAAACCCTAAACCGAGAAAGAAAGAAAGAACATAAAAGGGTAAAAAGAGTAAAAACGCAGAGCTCTGATATTCGGGGCAAAATGTACCAGAAGTTTAGAGAATTGGGGTTCCGTTTGATGTTTGGTTTCTTGTTCTTCTTGATCTTGCGGCTGTCGGGAACTCATCCATGATGGGAGATTACGTTTATTGCTGGAGGAAGACGATGACATATTCAAATTCACTGAGGCACTGGTGTGTGTGTGTGTGTGTGAACTCAACAAAAGAAAAGTCAAGTATTCAGGATTTATATAGTGTTTGGTGTTTTGGTTCGAGCCAGAGTTAAAATGTGAACCAACCCGTTCTTAACCCGTTCTTCTTTTCTTTTTTTTTCTTTTTTTTTTTTGAAACTATAATTTCATTCAGAAATAGCTAACTGGATTGCTTTTTGCAAATATAAGAATTACTCATTTATAGTTGTTTGGACATTTTTTCCCCTGAGTACTACAAAGAGTAGTAAAACACATAGTTTCAAATTATTTATTTCTTTTCTTCTTCTTCAACTCTCAAAGAAAAAAAAATCCAAATATTATAATGTCAAAATTTTTATCAAAAAATTCGAAAAAATTTAATTTAACACTAAATTAAATTTCATTTACATAAATAACAATTACTAATACTACTCATTTAAATTTAAAAACTATAAACAACAAAGATTAATACTACTCATTTAAAAAGAAAAATAATTATGAAAAATATAATAAATAACTGAAAAACTAAAATATATATATATATATAAAATAAAATAAAAAAATAATTAAAAAACATTATGTCCTGGGATAGCCGGCCAAGGAGCCTCACCTTGGGTAGCCGGTTTTGGGCCGGTTACCCTTAGCCATAATTTTTTTTTATTTTTTTTTTTAAATTTTCAATTGTTTATTATATTTTTCAAAAATTATTTTTTTAAATAAGTAGTATTAATCTTTGTTGTTTATTTTTTAAATTTAAATGAGTAGTATTAATAATTGTTATTTATGTAAATGAAATTTAATTTAGTGTTAAATTAATTTTATTTATTTTTTTCGAATTTTTTGATAAAAATTTTGACATTATGATTTTGGGTTTTTTTTTCTTTGAGTATTGAAGAAGAAGAGAAAGAAATGATTTGAAACTGTGTTTTAGTACATACTCAGGGGCCAAAATGTCCAAACAGCTGTAAATGAGTAATTCTTATACCTGCAAACAGCTAAGGGAGTTTTCTACTAAAGATGTATTCCATCTGTCCCAAAATTATTGTTCAATTTGAGATTTTAATTTTAGTACAATTTGAACTAGAAATGAAAATTCAAACTGGACAATAATTATGAGACGGATGGAGTATTTATTTTTTTAATTGTACAATTAAGTGGAAGAGATTTATATTTTTGACATTGTCATATCCTCTTTAGTTTATTCGTTCTTTTTTATATTTTAAGGTCTTTAAATACACAAGTAATGGTATATGTGGAAAAAATTTACAGAGAATTTTAATAAGAAATGATATAGATGAGTTTTAATTAGTTTCTTACTCTTAAATTGATAAATTTGTAAAAATAAGTTTTAACTTTCATTCACGGTATATTTTCCTAGAAAATTTTCCGTGCAACAACCATCACTCTAAATTCATTTAAATAACAAATTGGTGGGAGCTAATGTCAAAAATATGCCGAGAATGGATTCATTTCCTCTTTCACATAACATGGGGCAACTGGCAAGGGTAGTCACATTTTGGCTGATGTTGTGGTTTTTGGTTCCAAAATTTAATTCTTTTACTTTGGGGATGATCTTAAAACAGCTCTATATTTTCTTTACACATTTCCAAAAAAACATAGTGTTGTAATCCTGCTTGTCAGCGGCCTTCATTTTTTTCTACCAACTCTGCAATACTACATGCCTCCTACATGGGTTGTTCTCTTCTACATGGGTTGTTTCTGCCTTTTCCTTCCTTGTTTCCTGTGATCACTTGCTAACAAATGGCGCCGCCGCCGGCGCCTGAATGAATTTCCTTCCTCAGAACTACATAATTACCAAGTTCCCGTGTCAAACTGACTTTGTGATGGATTCAGACAACAATGCAACCATTTGTTAGCGGTCATCACTAGCTACAGATTACTTCAACTGCAAGCCTTTTCGGGGTGTCAGGACACAATCCCAGGTTGAGATTCCTCACTTGGCTCACTTCCAAAGCACACTTGTTCTTGTTCAAGCATACCTGCAATTTTAAGCCACACCAACCCAATCAAGTTTCAGCAATCAATACATAAGAACCAACCAAATCTTTTCAGTAATCATCAAGATATGCCTAAAAGTCTTCATTCGTTTGGGCTGCTTCAAGTCCACATCAAAAGAAAGATTCACGTTGGATTACCTTTTCAACAAATGAAACAGAACTAGGATCATGACAATCACCCTTGGCAAATGACCCGCAGGTTCCTGTAGGTGTCCCAAAGCTGGCAAAATTCACAGCAGAAATCTGAGAGTTCGTAGGACACACCAATTCGATCTTTGATCCACTGCTGGAACTACTGTTCCCAGTTTTCTGCATATTTTCGAGGTCATATGAAGGATGATCTTCCGAAATATGAGCACAGGCAGCCATCATTTTTCGCCTGGAGAACCTAATTTTAGTAGGATCTCCGCCTTTTTCTTCAAAAAACACTAAAACATTTCCTGATGGCTTAAACCAGGACCTCGGGATGTGGTACCTTGTAAGAGAAAATAAAAACAAAATTTCCAACCCCGTCAACCAAAAATGCAAGGCTGAAAAGCAACACGGAGCAGACTGTAAATAGAAAACCCTTGCCAAACTAATTATGTAATGCCCATATGAACCACATCAGAACATTGAAAAGAAAAGATTCTGCCAGCCTGGGGCATTACAATAAGATTTGCAACTTCCTTCAGCGTACCCGAACATAAAGCTTCATTTGAAAATAACAAACTTGATACCACAGAAATCGTTATGAACACTAACATCGACCTAAGTGCCATGAGCATATTAGTAAGCAAGTACATGACATCTAACTGTTCCTGCTTTTGGAATTTTGGGCCAGAAAGGGGATGGCAAAACAAGAATTTAGGTTGTTATACACAATGCACAGCGCACCAACATGTGCTGTGTCGTGCCTATGGAACCGAACAGACGAATGTATGTTTAGCCTCAAAATTTCGACTGGTAAGACAACTTCGGCATATTATAACATAGACATAAGGGATTACGAGCAGTTAAGACAACCACTAGGTACAAGTTTCTTTTTCAGTTACTAGTTTCATTTTTGAATCGGTTGCAGCGCCAAATGTTTAAGCATGTTAGTTGCAGATTTCAAACTCCGGCATTATATTCACCAGTAAAATAGTTGCAAAATTCAAACACAACAGTTCATCAGCACTAACCAAAGTTCCGCATGCTTACCATCGTTGTGTTGGTTCACCGCATCCAGTGCTGCACTTGTCGGGCATGAATTTGCCTCTGTAGTCACAATGAAGAACGCACTCTTCGTGTTTAGAGCTTTTTCTTGGCCAATATCTACCGATTTCTTCCCCATTCAACCAAGCCATACCTTTCCCCATATGCACCATGTCAAGCCCAACAGGTTCATTTCCAGGAGGAGGATCCACTACAATCTGCAATACAGAACCTACAATTACCTTTTGTGTAAATCTTTTACGTTTCAATAATTAGCCAGCTTTTCAAGACCTTGTTCTCCCTTTCAGATTGTTTTTTTCTGGATTGCCCTTCTTTAAAAATATACCATATAGTGGAGCCATTTAAACACGACTTCAATCAGAGCCATGTCCTCCAGTCTATATAAGAACACATTGAATCCATAAACAAGTTGAACCACCAAATACCAAATATCACGACCGTTTGGAAAAAGTTTATAACTCTCTTTTATAATCTATTGATGATTTTGTTGCCCTCTGTTCAAAATTGGTTTCAGAATAAGATTTGGCTGTCAATTCTAAAATAACACTTCTAAACTTTGGCTCAGTGAATGATGTGGCACTCAAGGAGACACAAAATGACCAACTAGGTTTCTTAAAAGGTGAAGCATAATAAAGGACATGCCTTTCTGCATGTGGCATAAGTGTAATGAGCCATTAAACTGAAGGATTCACTGTCTCAATAACTACTCGTCATTGTATTAGACAGTTCGACAATTTTTTCGTGTGTCAAGACAGCATAAATATTCGCCGAAAACCAAATGTAAGATTGAACAATCTCATAGTCTCTCATGCATATACCTTGTACCATGTTAGAGGCTGTTGTACTGGAGGTTCAGACGTAGACCCCCATTTCACACTGTTTGTTCCATCTAGCTGGTAAATCTTCAGTTGTTCTCCCTGCACTCCCATCTGAAAGCAGCCATACCATGTCAAGGATAACTCTACAAACATATGTTATACAAGGAAAATTTGGAAACATCTTCATAGGATTTCCAGATTTGGATCACAATCCAGGTGTTCAGTTTTACTTAATGCCAAATGCTTCACATTTCCCTAACTATACGTGCCACATTAATTGATCCATTCACTTTATTCATCACTACCAAATATAGCAACAGGATCGTGTATGAGACTATGAGGAATTACGAATTGGGAAAGAATGTCGAAATGGAAGATGAACTGCGAATTTCTCGTTGACGTTCACAAAATGCAAGCTGCTCTGTTAGTTCAAGCAGAAACATTTTTCAATATTTGAAGAAGAGGAATGGATAAAAAAGGAACAAAAGGGGAAACTTTACAGTTTTTATCCGAAATTTTCTCGAAAGAGTCCAACTCAATGGCGTCACAGTTAAGCAAATAGAATGCAAAGAATGGACTAATTACTCTTAAATGAAAATGGAAACAATATTAGTAAACAAGAATTTTCTCTAGCAAAGTTCAACCCCTTTAAGAGCATGAGAGAGATATGACGCTGAAGAAGATGAATCAAAACTATATTCAAAAGTAACAATGATTACCTTGTAGGCCCAAGTATACGTTGACAGGTCTAGAGTTCCATTTTTAAGTCCCAGAATTTTCACACTGGTTAGACCCGCTCCAATCCACTCATAAAACATTCCTGCATTCTGAAGATTAAAAGGACTCTTTAAATAAGACACCAATCAATTAAACACTGACACCAGCAAACTCATGCTGTGGACCAAGGAATCCATATACTTACTTGCAGGCCAACAGTCAAGCCCAATATAGAAATATCATTCTTTCCAGGCTTCAGAACAATCGGACTTGTAAAGTTAAATGGAGGATGTGTGCCATTTCCCGATGCAGTAGCTGAGGTGCAAAATTGTAAATGGAAAATCCAACAACATAAGAACACTCCCAGCCAATGCTTTCATCAAACAATATTGATAGTGAATCTACAAACAGTAAAATTCTTTGGAGCAATGAAACAATAATATACAATAAGATTGCCGGGCTAACTTGCGAAAAAGTAACACAGCCAATAAATGTTGAGGGTGGGTGCACTGAAAACCTTGAAGTTTCTGATTGACGAAAGCATGCAGAGCATGACCCTTGGATTCAACAGAAAGCATTGCACTGCTTCTGCTTCCAGTTTTCAGGATTTCTTCATTTGCATCAACAAAGAAGCTGCAGAAAAGGGAAATAAACATAAACAAAGTCAAACTTCAGAATTCATGCCTAATAATAGGTTCAAGGATTCGACGACTTTATGACTTGAATGCTCAAATCAAACTCAAGTAGACCTGTGCATCCCATCTGGTTTTTCAATATTTGAAGAGAAAGCTAAAAAAGATTATGTATGGACCTCGTAGAGCACCAAAGGTAGTCAGTAGTATCTTTTGTGGTGTTGATTTGATCAACAAAGCCAGTTCTGGTAAAATCAGGTTCACCCCAGATCATAGCTTTCTCTTGAAATACTTCCCATGTAAGACCTTTAAAGTCTTTATTAGGTGATACCATTGACAGTGTAAAATTTGATGGGACCATCTCAACAACGGAAGTTTGAGATCCAACCTATTGCAAATTAGAGGGAAAACTCGAACATTAGAAATAAAGATTAAAAAAAGAAAAGAAAAAACCTTCTGAGCCTACTTCCCTTGGTTTATTATCCAATGAAAGTTCACCAATAATGATTCCTACCAATTTTATGTCAAAATCCAATACATTCTGTGTCATAATTCTTTGCATACCAAGATAATTACCTTTGCAGTGTTAAAGACAACAGTCTTGCAGTCTGGCAAAATGCTAACAGACCAGGCAGGCAGGTCATACGATACGTTGCGAAACATTACTGATTTGTCGTTTTTATCATCCGTGTTGGCTATAAATGCAGCACAAGCTCCCGAGGTGTCTTCGTAGACATCAGCCTACAGAATTTAGTTTATTCACTAGGCATATCAAAATACCGATAAAATACTAAATGGAATGATATTCAGAACTAGTTGCATAATCCGGGGTGGGGGGGTAGAATTTCCAAGCATGAAAATTTTCACAAGATTGTGCCAAGTGTTCGAATTGTATGAAACATTTCATGATGATTTGCATAAAAATCTTTTGCCGTAATAAACAGAAGGAAACTGGCACTACAGAAAGGAAGACAACAGAATGAAAATGGACAAAACTTACCTCCAGTAAGGGACCTAATTGGAGCAGCTTTGGCTCAGTTCTCAGCATAACATTCTCACACAACATTATAGCCCTGTGAAGATCTTTAAGATGCCCCCATTTTGGAAATCTCGCAAGCCCTGGAACCCATAAGAGGAGTATCTCAGTTAATCTGTAAACTTTTTGTCATTTAAATTTTTCGAACCTTTACATGGTCAAGTAGTAATAAAGGCTCACCATATTCATCAATAGGTGCCTCGTAATCATAACTTGTGGTTATGAATGGCCCGCCAGCAGTTCGGCCAAAATTTGTTCCACCATGGTACTGCAAAGTGAAAACATGAGAGAGATGTAAAAACACAATATCAGGTGAATCTCAACAAGAATAATCATTTAGCCGAAGACATACATACCATGTAATAGTTTTGTAAGCTTCCTCCTTTCTGGAAGAAACGAGCAACAGCATAAGCAACGTCTTCGGCAGGCCTATGAGGATCTCTTGACCCAAAAGTTTTGAACCTTTGCATTTATAATGTAAATGCATTAGAAGATCAAACTTGATCCTGATTTAATTACTTTTTGCCATTCAGCAAAGTACAGTTATGCTTATGTATTTCAGAAGGGAACTGTACCATCCAGGCCAATTTTCAGTCCACATTTTGGGAGCATTTGGAGCAATTGGTTTAAATTGGTCGCAGTAAAACCCATTACAGGTATCAATCTGGTGAAGCAGTAAAAACAGCTTATAGAACAATAGGCAAAATTTAAAAATTAAGCAGGGATTCTCAGATTCATGTGCAGTTACATTAAGACGTAAATGGAGAATTATGAGACGATTCCAGAAAATAATATGTCAAACTTTGCACAATCGAAGCGACTTCCTTACTAGACAAATGTTTCGTACAAAGTTATGACAAATTGTTGGAAGGGGTAACGAATTACAAGCTTACCACATTATCTGGAACATGGTATTGCTGACACATTATCCACGGTACGCCTGTATTTTGAGAAACGGCCATTGCAGCGGCCCATGTAGCATATCTTTTCCCTCCTTCTCCATAAGCACTCTCATAGTATCCATACTCATTTTCCACCTGCAGGACACAATGTATAGCTGTAATTGTGATACCAAACATCACAAGTTCACACTAAGAACAGATCGAGGAAGGTTTTAACAATTCTAATACATTGGCCAGGGTCTGTTACTTGCCTGTGCCAAGATAATAGGGCCTCCTTGTGGTGCAAAAAGTTTTTCTTGCTTCATCAAATTCACTATGTAGGTCATGAATTTCTGCATGTAATACTGAAATGGACTATAGATGGTAAGACACGGAATCGCAAGAAACAAAAGATCATGCTTTTCTTTAAATAAAATGTGCGATAAGTTTTAAAATGATGATAAATGTGCAGACCTTGAAAGGTTCATTGTCAGTCCTGAAAACAGTGCCTGGAACATAATGCAACCAAACAGGAACACCTCTGCAGATAAGTACTACGTGTTAGAAGCTGTGGAAGCTGAAATCCTCCGCAAGAATAGCCAACACCACACTATTAACATAATGCCAACTCAATTAATAATTTCGTGCAGAGGCATTAATAGTACAGGTGTGGAGAAGTATAAGTACCAAGAATGTTCAGAATCTAGTTCCCTAAATTGTCTACCTAAGTTGAAAAGGTAATGAAGGGAAAGAACAGAAACACATGAGACACAGAAACATATGATTATGTAGGCATTACCCATAGTTCCATTCTGCAGCAACAACGGGACCAATTCGGAGAATCAAAAACAAGCCAGCCTCTTGCACAATCTTGCAAAACTTGACCAGATCATACCTTCCTCCAAAGTAATACTGATAATATTTCAGGATTGGAATTATTGACAGAAAAATAAGCACAAAGATGGATGCATCAAAACACAGCAAAGAGCAGAACAAGGAATTGGAAACAGACATTATTAGGGGAAAGCTCATGACCATTCCAAAAGACATAGGTTTCAATGGTATTGGCCCCTCCTTCCTTTGCGAGCTGAACCAGTCCTGGCCACATCTACACCAAAATTCCACACGTTTCATGTTTCATTCTCACAGAAAAATGAAGCAATGTCGGCGAAATGAACAGAATTTGCCCAGTACATAAAAAGCACAAGTCTTTCTTATTGATTCAGCAAACAAAAGCAAAGGGACATTATGGGAAATGCGAAACAGAGAAATAGAGAAAGGAAAGTGTACGCACAGCGGGGACGCTACGGGGGTAATGAATGGAAGCAGAGATGAGGAGACGGCGTTGGCCATTGATAATGAGGGAGCGGGAATCGTAGGTGACGTTGCCGGCGGCGGTGATCTCAGCCAACGTAAAAAATGCAGCAGCAATTATGAAGATTCTACTAGTCCAAGGGAGGAAGAAGGAGGAGGAGGAGGTGCAGAGCAGCTGCTCCTGCTTCCGCAGCTCCGTCATTATTGGTGGCGATGATTCTTCAAACTCCAAATCAGAACCGGGAAAAAGGCTTCAACTTGGAGCAAAAGAAGAAGAAGTGAAAATGAAAGATGGAGTGAGGAAGAAGAAGAAGAGGACGTGAGGTCAGGTATATGTACTGAACACGACTCATCTCTCTCTGTCTCTACTTGGGGGCAGGTTTTGGGACATTTAAGTCCAAACACCAAATCGGATAATACTTTTTGTCTGGGTTTTGGTTAATCATCAATATCATCATCATAATGATCACTTTAAATTAATTAAAGAATGCAGGAAGAGGGAATGGTTACTGTACGGACCAAGTGTAAATTTATGTTAAAAAATCAGACAACAAAATCCCATATGGCATATGGTGATCTATAAAATAAGTAGTAGTGTAATCTTTGCTTTCCCTGCCCGTGAAGTAAATCCCTCACTACATGTGGGTGATGATGGATGAGATCAAACGCGGATTTTTGGAGTTTGATTGCACCAGTTGTAAAGTCAGATCATCACAATGCTTCAATGAAAAGTTGGATAAAGAAGAAATGGACCCTTGTTTTGGATTGGATTGGGGGATTTGGTTGGGCGACTTTGGAACTTGTTACCCAGCTCAAAAGGGCTTAACAAGCTTGCATCATCAACCAGTCAATCATATAAAATACTACTCCCTTAATCCAAAATAAGTGTCATTTTAACAAAATAAAGAAATTTTAAAATAAGTGTCGTTCTCACATTTCAATGCATTTTTTGTCCAAAGTTTTCGAAATTACCCTCGAAAGAATTAATACTATTGGTGGACATTTTTTTAGTAGGGTTAGTTGAGGATATTCAAGTAATTTTATTATCCTATTTAAGAGTTTCTTAAACTATGTGCAAAATGTAGAATGATACTTATTTTGGAATGGAGGGAGCAGTATTAAATCATTTCTTAGAATTACTCACTTTGTCCACTTCTTCAAGGCAGTTGTCAGCCATTAGTAGTAGTAGTAGTAGTAGTTCTTGTTTGCTTAATAATGATAATTGATGGTTACACATTTTGACCAGATGTTAGCATCATAATGGCCCTGGGTTTTTTTTTTGGATTTCTTATAAATGTAGTGTAATACTACTAGTCTACTACTACTGCAAAAGGTAAAAGAAGAAGCAGAAGAATAATAAATGAATGAATGGGATATAGGGGTTTGCTCCCTCCAATTATATTATATATATATTGTAGTATAATATATTCCACCGAATAACAACAGTAATTGATTGGAGGAATGGCGGGGAGGGGGAGAAACCGCGGCAGAAGTAAACACAGCTCACGCTGGGCTGGCTATCTCTGTCTGCATTTTTTTGTGTGCATCAACCAACGAAAAACAAAATCTACCTCTCTCTCGTTTCATTTTTGTTTTAGATTCGACATTCAAGTTCTACATACTCCATCCGTCCGTCTCACGAAAAATAATCCACATTAAGTTTTAAATTTTGTAATATTTTTAGTATAAATTTGAAAAGTCAATATAGATTTTTTTTTTCCAAAAATAATAATATTTTTGTTTCTCATTGCTAGATTCTCATTTTCACTTCCACCACTTACTTTAGTTATTCGTATACCGAAATCTAGTCAATTTTACGATGGAAGTTCGATTTTGGGTAACTGAGTATGGTACGACGAGAGCGGAGAAGTGATCCAACAACCAACATTAGTGGAAAATCACAATTGATGGTTGGAGTAAAAAACTTTAAAGATATATAAATGATTTTGGACCCAAAAAGAAAGAGAATGGTAATAGAAATTTATGTGTGAGTTGAAGAAGAAGGAAACAAGATGAAGTGGGTTGTTGTGGTGTGGAAGTGCAGAAGAGAGGCAGGTCCACAATCTCACGGGCTTTCTAATAAGAAAGACATATCACATCATCATCAACAACAGCTACAAATGTGCAAGATTAATTATTACTTGATTGATTCAGTAGCACTAGTAGTGGCGGTGCTAATTGTTTGTATATATATATGCTTTGTAATTTACTCACCCCGCCGCTGGTCCAATCCAGATTCATTTCATCTCACGTTCATTTTACCATTTGTGATTCCTTCAACTTCTGCTCTGCCCTGCAAATCCATCCATGTGATTCATTCATATCCATCCCCCACTTTTAGTTTTCCAATCATTTTACACATTTATTACACGCTACTACTACTACTACTACTACTACTCAATCCCTCAATCCTCCTCCCCAGTCATCAACAGACATAACCCACTGCACCATCAACTGCATGAATTATGAATCCCCATATCCCCACCCCCCAATCAACCTATACCCAACCAAATGAATTCATTACTTACTTGTAGATACATCTACGTATTCAAATCTAACCCACATTTTCACCTTCTCCTTCACGTTGTTTCTTTCACTTGCAAATTTCTCAACAGTAAAATTTCAAATATTATTATTAATAATATTAAGCGCGGTGATGCTCTCAGCTCATTTGCAAATTGTATATGCATGAAAATGTAAGTAGTAATTACAACTTTTTTTTTAAAAAAAATAATAAGAATAGTAATAAAATAAAATACATGCAACTATGAATATCCATCAAAGTTGGCCTCTCAATCAAAACTAATGTGGTCCATATATTTATTTATTTTGGTCACATGCATGCAAATCCGAAGAGAAAAGTGAACGAGAAACATCAGTGCTAGCTACCCTTCCTTGGAAGGGAAGCAAACGCAGGGACGGGAAATTGAGATATTATTCGCTTCACTCATGGGAATAATTTGACTTATTTAGGCCTTGTTTTCCGTTTCGTTTTGCTTTTTGTCTCATTTTACCTTTTCAACACAAATCTCAATACATTATTCAAATATTAATTTAATTTACTTTTTAAACTATTCTAAAGTTTAGTACCGATGGTCACTAAACTATTTTAAAATTTTAAGTCTGGTCACTATATTATCCCACTTTAAAAAAATGGTCACTATCTTATAATACTTTTCAAAAATTGTCACTAAACTACATTTTAAATCTCTTCCCAAATTTAAATGAAAAACTAAAACAAAACGTTGTCCAAACATCAGCTTACCTTTTCACAAAAGAAGAAGAAGAAGATTATTGAAAAAAAAAAAAAAACAAACTCGATAATAATTTCGAAACGGAGGGAGTACAAATAATGAATTAGAACTATCGTCATAGTTTTAGAGATTGGACAGTTGTCCTTCATCACAGTCATAGATAATGTAATTTTGTTATTGATTATTTAGCTACGCTGGCGGCGACGAATCCGACCGATATTATAAGGTTGAATTCGCCCCCACCAGGCATATTTTTGTGGCTCAACTACGATATTATAGGGGCAGCGTAACTCTAGAAGAGTAGTGATGTAATGCGAAGCGTAGTGGTATAACCCTTTCAGCAAAAAAATAAAAATAAAATAAGAACTACTCCCACACGAGCTAGTAGTAGCAGTAGAGAGAGAGAGTCTTTCAGCAACAAATTTGTTGTTGATGATGGGGGTTAGAAGACATGGAGGGAAGGACCTCGGGGCCTCCTAACCGAAATCAATAGGCCCACTATGGAACCATATCCTCTCTCTTGAGTCTTGAACAGGAAATGAAGGAATTTAAAGCCCAAAATGTCAGCCCCAACACACTCCTTCACCATTTACTGTTCCATAAGTTCATAGCCCTTCTCAAATTGGACGGACTCTTCTTCCACTGGTCAATAATTCCTTTTCAAACAAAACAACACTGGGTATTAGACCCATCCGATAGACGGGGAGAACATGTACATATTCACATTAGAACACAAGTAAAATAATAAAAATATCACTATTTCTATGGATTTTGTACTTTTATAAAATGTTAATTATAAATTATATAATTATTTCATTGAAAAATACAAAACACAAACATCAACAACATTTTACAAAATGGTAATAATTTATTTAATGCAAAGAGAATTATTAAAAAAATCTAAAAAAAAGAGAATATAAAATAAAAAAAATAATTAACTTTGAATTGAATGATTATATGTCTTGCAATACTTCTCTGTGAACGAAATTCATAGTCTTAAATTGACATTACTACATTCATCGCATATTAGGTTCTTGATTCATTGTCTCGAAGTGACTATTGATAAGGCGACATATAATTAGTCACGGTTAAAAACTGGACGTGACAAATAAAATCATTTGTTAATTTAAAGGTGTTAATCGGACGGCCAAATAAACTTAAATGGAAATTATAAAATAGAGATTTAATGGATGAAAATTTCTACCAAATATAATATAAATCATAATATAGAGAAAATGAAATTATTCATTATTAGATGAATTTTCTATGAAAAAACAAAAATGCTAGTAATAAATGTATAGTAGATTTTTTATAGTAGATTTTTTATAATATAAAATAGATAAACAAAAACATATGTGATATGGATATTTTCAGCATAATGTGGGATGTTGAGAAAAGAAAAAAAAAAAGCATTCAACTTCGAATCGAATAATTATATATCTTGCAATAATTTAAATCAAAATCATTAAACTTATTTTTAATGACATTCTATGGTAGAATCATTTTTTTCCTTGATTCTAAGGTAGGATCATTTTTTTTACCACATTAATAATATCACTGAAGTTATTTGCATATTTAAATTTGATCTCTCTCAACTTGTTTTTAATAATATCCCACAATTACTTTGTAGTGGGTATCTATTCTTTTTTCTTAATGATATTGCAAATTTACCCTAGGCATTTTTAAATCTAAACCCTAAATCAAATTTACCCTAGGCATTTTTAATCCTATGTGGCATGTGCTCCACGCTTTTAGATTTCTCGCTCTGGTTTTTGCCTTAATATAGTATATAGATAGATTAATCCATTTAGAAAAGAAATATTAGAAATTCTAAATTAGTCCGTGCAGTGAGATGAGGTTACCACTTTTTGCCAAAATAATTAAAAGAGTAGCCATATATACAAGAAAAAAAAATTGAAAAGGAATTTTACAATGAACAAAATGACTGAATTTTAATAATCCTCTAACCCATAAATGGATATTATACTCTAAATAAAAGACGGTTAAAATTCCTAATTAAATTTTCCTGCACGAATTATTATTATCTTGATTAAAATAGTAGGAGGACGAGCATCCTCAAACAAACAGATAAAACAAAAGTTACTCCCTCCGTCCTATAATTATTGTCTAGTTTGGGTTTTTATTTTTAGTTTAAATTGTACTAAAAGTGAAATTTCAAACTGGACAATAATGTTAAGACGGAGGAAGTACTTGCGATAGTGAGAATAATAATGATGGAATCCATTATATTCCTCGAGCTCAGCAACAATAGTGGAGTAGTCGTATTAGAGAAAAGAAAGAAAAGAAGAGCAAGAAACAGGTGCTAGTTGAATGCTGAAAGCAGCGTGGATTCTCATTATTAATAAATTTAATTTGGATGCTCAATGCCAGGCCACCAAAGCTGGCAGTCTCACTATCTATTTATCTATCTATCTTCAACATGAAAATTTATAAATTCCCTCGTTTGGGGGATTTGACTATTGTGAGAGGAGGGGGATTTCACATACTGACAAAAATCTAAGACTTGCCAAACACCATCCATCAACTTTCTATAATAAATTAGCACCACCTCCGTCTCAAAAAAAAATAATAATAATAATCCAAATTGAGTTTTTAGTACTCATTCTGTCCCAAAATTATTATCCAATTTGATATTTCACTTTTAGTATAATTAAACTAAAAAGGAATATCCAAACTAAACAATAATTAAAGAATAGAGGAGTCAAAATTTGAAAAGGACTATTGTTTTAGGGACGGAGGTAGTAACACATTCTCTAGGTCAAAAAAGCAGCTCTGTCTCTGCTTTATCTAACCACCAGCATTCCCATCATCTAAAAGTTCCATAATTTACTGCCATGAGCTGCTGAGATTACCCTGGAACATGAAAACTGGGAGGCAACAGCGTCCATCACCTTCCTTTCGAATTAAGATTTCATCCCTAACAGGAAAAAGAAAAAGCCACTCCCACCAACATTTTGTTTCCTGTCATCCCAATGATTGTCCTAATTATACTATAATTCTCCCTTTTCCTAGACGATTTAACTCATCATCATACTTCCTTCCAACAAAGCTCAAGGTATATCACCAACTTAATGAGTGGCTAATAAGGTACTATATGCTACCTGAAGTCAAGTGTTCTGCATGATGATTGATATCCTCTGCTGTTGTATTTCATGGGTGTTTTGTAATTTGGGATCATCATCTTGATTGTAGGAAATGTTGCATGATGAAATTTAATCTGAAAAGCAAATTAAGATAGGAAGACAATCCCAATTTTTTATAATGCTGAAACCCAAAGAAAGACCGATCATAGAGCAATAATGTAGCCTCAACTTGCTGTTTCTACATGTGTATTATATATAGATATAGATTCCATTCCAGACATGGTAAGGTGGCTCTGTTTACAAGTCTAACTGAACATGTCATGACAGATCTCCAAAGTTTACAAGTCAACCCCAACTTATTCAACCAACAACCAGTTGAGCCATTCATAATTTGGTTATCCAATTCAAGTACTGCAATTGGCATAGCCCCAATGTTTCCCTTTCTTCAAACTTTTTCCTCTTTATCTTATTGTCTGTTTTCCCTCTTGCCAACACCCAGTGACTAGAAGATGAAAGAAGCAGTTTCAAATCATCATCATCATCATCACCATGCTTGGCCTATTATCATCTGCAGCACCTTGTTGTTCACCTTCTTCCTTGCCAAGCTTCTCAAAGACAAAGTACAGAAGAGGGAAAACAACTGCAGGTTGCCACCGGGAAGAAGGGGCTGGCCCATTATAGGTGATAGCATAAAATGGTACAATGCAGCTGCAAGTTCTCATCCCCCCCAGTATGTTGAGGAGCAGGTTCAAAGGTATTGCTTACACCTATCACTTTAGGCATCCCATCCTAATTGTTCATGACGCCAAACTTGTATGCCTTCTATATTTACCTTTTGGTTTATAACCATTTACCCTAGGATGTACCTTCCAGATTACTATTTTACTATTACTCTATAAATAAGATTTATACTGCTCAAGTCACTTGACCAATCCCCGCACTTCTATACAAACTCTTCACTTAATTCATGAACCCAACAGTAATTAATTTGATAGGTACGGAAACATATTCTCCTGCACTCTATTTGGGAAAGGGACAGTGGTGTCGGCTGACCCGCACTTCAACCGGTTTGTGATGCAAAATGAGAGCAAACTGTTCCAATCAAGCTATCCAAAGTCTTTCAGAGATTTGGTGGGAAAAAATGGGGTCATCACAGCCCAAGGGGAGCAACAGAGGAAGCTCCATTCAATCGCTTCCAACATGATGCGCTTAGAGAAGCTTAAGTTCCACTTCTTAAAGGACATACAGAAGGTTCTTCACAACACCCTCAACAGTATGCATGATAAACAAACCATTTGTCTCCAAAATGTCTGCAGAAAGGTGGTGATTCCTATTCGCAAAGAAATCTTAAAAGGAGCTGTTTTCTACGAAAACTAGCTATGCTTTTGCACTAAAACCAGCCATCACGCTTTTTCTTTCCTTTTGTTTTTTCATTCATCGAGTTTATATGTCCAGGTAGCAATTAACTTGATGGTCAATCAACTTCTTGGAATGTCCAACGAATCAGAAGTGAACGAGATGGCTCAGTTGTTCTCTGATTTTGCCGATGGCTGTCTTTCAATTCCAATAAATTTTCCAGGCTTCGCCTATCACACTGCAATGAAGGTGAGACCAATACAGACTGACAGAGTCACCAAATTCTAAACCCTTGAGCACCTTGGATCTACATCAATCCAGTTACCATGTCCAGTAGCAACTACATACAAAACTGCTGAAACACTTGGTTTTTTTCACGAGATGACCCCTTAATCTTCTAATCAGCAAATTTCTTTGCACTTCTTGCACGCAGTGAGTATCCTCTAATAACAGATATACATGAGCCATAAGATTGCATGTGCGGAAGCCTAATTTTCACATCTTCCTTTTCTGCCAATGATTTACAGAGAATACTTCCAAAACACTAAATTAATACATGCCCCAGAAAAACGAACACAAACATGATGCTGAAGCCTTGTAATGAGTCTTTTTTGGTTGGTTAGCAGTGATGCACCTTTTAATTTCACTTTCCATCTAGCGATAGAACCTCACTGCCCTACTTGCCTATAAAGTATAGCATCAACTTCACAGATCATACCATTACGTCATATGAGGTTTTCTAGTCATTTAAATCTATTCTGCTTTCAGTTGTGACAAGATATGAGCATCCGTAAACCTAAACCAATGAGGAACAGGAAAGAAATAAATGAACAAAAAAAAAATACAGCAAGCATGAGTATTTAACATGTCGAAGATGGTTAAAAATTTTCTTGTTTTTGATGTCATACTCACCATTTAACAGGCAAGAAAAAGTATAATAAGCAAAATTAATAAGACGATCAAGATTCACAGGCAACGGCATCACGCAGGAGCGGGTAATGGATTGCTTTGGCGAGTGTTAGAGGAAGAAAGCTTGCCTGATGATACTGTTGCTGACTTCATTATCAATCTTCTGTTCGCCGGAAATGAGACAACGGCCAAAACTATGCTCTTCGCTGTCTATTTTCTCACTCAATGTCCTGAAGCAATGAAGCAACTCCTGGTAACAAAACAAAATATAATAATCAAGATTACTTTTTTTGAATTTTGGACATACTTTATCGTATTTCCTAACACTTATTTGTTCATTTGTTTACTGATGCGGGCTTAGTTTAGTTGGTGATGGTACCTTTTCTAACAAACTTCATTACTATCTTCCTGAGTTCTGAACTAGACTTTATCTTCTTGTTGTCCATAAGAATAGGATGAGCAACAAATGGTGAAGAAAACTACAAGCCACCTTGGGAATGTACAGATGCTTGAGTGGCAGGATTACAAAGCTATGCCCTTTACACAATGTGTACGTCTTCTACCACAAATTCTGCACTTCTTTTCACTTTTCTACGTAAAGAAATTGCACAAGTGGAGGTTGCAACTTGCACAAGAGTGCCAATCATTTTTATTTAATCTGATCGAGTTGCTGGTAAAGGTCCAAAAAAAATGATTCCCTAAGTTCAAGCTACATAGATTTTTAACCGCACGCATATTTGGTCTAATTTTGGCCAAACTGAAAAACACTGAACAATGGTATAATTAATCAATTCTCAAATTCCCAGATCCCAGAAACTTCATCCCTAAGAAAGAATTATATTTTAATCTGATAGAAGCATAGTGTATCTCTGGTGTTCACCAATAAGAAACCTTACATCCCCCATCAAGATCAAGACACCGCCTAAAGGTCATTGAGTCTTTGAATCTAGTTCCCTTCTTTAGAACAGTGGAATGATTATTTCCCTGGCTCAGGTCATAGACGAAACCCTTCGACTAGGAGGAATAGCAATTTGGTTGATGAGAGAAACCAAGGAAACAGTTCACTACCAAGGTATGACACTTACAAACACATTTCATCATCAATGTATGCACATAATCAAATTAGCCATCAAGAATCATGATTTGCAAAGTTAATCAACTTAAGAATGATTCAAAATGTTGACTACATCTCACTTGGAAAGGTAAAACCAGATGTAATCCGTATCTTTTTTATAACTTTTCAGATTATGTCATCCCCAAAGGATGCTTCGTTGTTCTGTTTCTCTCAGCAGTGCACTTAAACGAAGGAGTATTTAAAGAAGCTCTGACATTTAATCCCTGGAGGTGGATGGCTCCAGAAAATCAGGCAAGTCTAAATATAGAGCCTTCATATATAAAATCTGTATTTAATTCCCTAAACATGCATATCAGATTCCAAGAACAAAGAGCATTTTGAATTTATTAATTTCCCTCTGACACTCAGTGTTATTTTCTCTAAAAAGCATATGTTAATTATCTAATATAGGGGAAGAGAAATTGGAGAACCAGCCCATTTTTCACACCATTTGGTGGAGGTGCTCGCTTTTGTCCAGGGGCTGAGTTGGCTCGCCTTCAAATAGCACTGTTTCTTCATTATTTTGTATTAACTTTCAGGTTGTTTCCATTTTCACCTTAGAAACGAGAAAAGCATTTTCTGTAGTTTCTGAATATCATTGGTCTACTGTTACAGGTGGCATCAACTCAAGGAAGACAGGATGTCTTTCTTCCCTTCAGCTCGATTAGTAAATGGCTTCCAAATTCAGTTAAGGAAAATATCAGATGAAGAAGCAAACATGAAATGATTCTTTCGTTTCCAAAGCAAGAAACAGTTTGTAATGTATCTCGCCATATTTCACTTTCCCATGTGTAAATTATATCAAATATGAGCTTCTCTGGGATCATAACAGTCTTATGAATCATATCCCCAGGCCAAGGATATTGTATAGTTATCTTTTTTGTACATGCAAATTAAGGAAAACAACTGGACTAAGGTACAAACAAGTCCGTCAAATTCCACCTATCCATCTCCAGTTCTTCAACTAGCAACACAAAAAGTTTACCAACAAATCAAGATAAGATTTTTATAGAAAATGAAACGTGAGTTTATGATACAAATTATCAGCTTTTCACTTCAGTTGGGAGTTTGGCCTCATTCCGCAGAAAGCACAAAGCTTTATTCGTAAAATATACGATAAATAGATTGCCTTCAGGCCTTGGAAGTTCAGAACTAATGCGTTTGTAATGCACACTATCAATAGTAAAAAAAACAGCTAACATGATAAAATTTCTAGGAACAAAGTCCAGTAAGAATATCTGACCTGGATTTTCACCCAAAATCATAATCAATATAGTGCTGGCTGAAGGAGACTCTTCAAGTTGACCAAGCATTGAACCACATAGGCTTTCTTCCAAGGTTACTAACTTTAGCAACAAGACGCTTTTTTAAAACAAACAGATTATAATCTTATCAAAATGGGGCTCCCACTATCAACCGTAGCTACGAGAGACTCAAGTTCCCTACAGCTGCTCTTTTTGCTAAATAAAATAGGACCGAGGGAAGAAAATGGAGGGTAAGAAGTCTAGATTTCTTGTTTTATCTGACAAACTAAATCCAACATCCAACGCAGCAAAATGGATTCGTATATGATGAATATTCATTCATCATCTACCAAGACCAGGATTTATTCAATCTTCATTCATCCTGTCAGCTAGGTACACAAATGGGTACAGATCCCTCAAAGTAGAGGGGTCTCTTACATTTTCATCAACTTCTGAATTATCCTTTGAAATAGCTGTACAAAAAGTAGCGTTAGTCAAAACCCTAGCCAAATCAAATCGTTACAACAAGCATTGATTAATCAACGTAAGCCTAATCCCTCGAAGAAAGAAAATATGTTTGGTCACCTTCCATTAAAAGGAATAATATAAAAACACGAAAAGGAAACCACGCCATGCTATTTCAAGAAAAAGCATAATACAAGATAGTATTTAGAATTTTTAGTAAGCAATACAAACACAATAGCATAATGAATTTAAAGGGAAAGAACAAGATCCAACATAGGAGACCCAATAACTTCATATTTCAGCAAGACAAAAATTAGATACCTAGACCTGGTTCCAAATTCTTCATAGCATAAGAGCTGCATTCTGACTCTACTGAACAATGTAGAGCTCTTGCTTTGCTATGACATGGCAGCCAATGGTGCTACCCTGTTCTATGATAAATTGCTCCTGAAATGACCCCATTCTCTTTGCCGGTAAATCAATCGATAAATCTTTGAAATTTGGGAGACCTTCTACTTGTACACCTTCTCCACATATCAAAAACTGGTTCCCAACAATAAATGAGCCTGCAACCCGGATTGCAAGACCATCCCGACCATGAGCACGGCACTGCAGTTTCTCCACCACATGCACCAGCTTTTCAGGAGGCCATTCACCAGCTAGTGTACGCCTTATGTTTGACAATATTGCAAAAATGTAACTTGGACCAACATATTCTTTTCCACTGAAACTGGAGAAAATAACGGCTGGTGTGAGCAAATATGAAACTCGAGACAGATAACCAAAATTATCCATTTCATCCAAGTTGGAAATGTGCACAATGTATGCTATTACAGACTGCCAAAAGTGAAAATCGTGTTATTTTATAATTCATACCACGTATTTCTTTTCTAATAACTTCCTCATGCCAAAACCATTGCTAGAGTTTAACCACTTTTGTGTTTTGAAGTAAGCATCCAAACTTGTGCTCAATATAAAATTATACAACTGCAAAAAGCTAGTTTGCTGTTGCTCAACTATTCAAGTAAATTGGGCCCCGACATATAACCATCTTTTTTCCAAACCTCTGGGGGGAAATTCTTTCTCTCAACCAATCAATTTGAAGGGAATTCAACAACGTAGTACCTGAAAACTGAATTCTCAATGTATAATGTTTTTGCATGATGCCACAGGTCCTCGGATCCATCAAAAAGTAAGTAATAGTGTATTGTCAGCATCTGGTCATGCCAAAAGCAAGGATCAACAATACAATCTTGTATTTGTAGTAGAAAGATCACAGTATATAGTCAACATGTCTAATATATAAGGAAAGTGAGTTCGCACTACTTAACTCACATCTGCTAGATCTTTCATTCTTCTGGTAGGATCAAAAATGCTACGTACAAAGGCACCCAGATCTACTTCTGTAGCTTCATACTTCGTAATGAATGGATGAGCAAGAAGCTACAACACGGAATATTTTACATGTCAAAAAACATAACATAACAGAATGTCAATATTAAGTACAATTGAATGTATATCGTGGAAAATGTAAAATGAAAGTGGAATCATAATTCTAAACTAGAGGGACTAAGATTTTGGAGAACTTAAAATCATACAGCCCCAGAAACAGTAAATCAAACCTAGTCTGAAGTTAAGTAAGAAAAAAAAAATGCATACCATGATTTATGTGACAGGGAACATTTAAGGAATAAAATGTAGAAAAATCAAGCTTTAATTGAATACCTTCTGAAAGATTATAACCTTTCTAATTAGTTTCATTTCTGACAAAGCAAACCTAAGAACTCTGAGAGAATGCATCAATGTGACATTATCCTCTTTACTAGGTTCTCATACAAAATATATTTACCTATTAATGGAGAACTTAAAAACAAACGAAAACTCCATCCGCAGAATGTTCTGGGTCTTGTAAAATAAACTAGGACTCTGGGAGTCAGCCGAGTTACAAAACAGCAGAGATGAGCAGAATTAAAAATGGTTGAAACCTAAGAATAATAAAGAAAATCTAAAATGTGTAGACACATCCAGTGAGATATACTTTTACTCGATTTCATGGAGAATAGCTCAAAATAAATGAACAGAAAACCACCTAAAAGATATTTTAATGGTAATGATTCAGGGGTATACTCTTTGGTACATTCTCACGTTTACTTTCTCAGAATCTAACTGAAAGAGAAAGCAAACCTAAATTAGCACACATGATTCGAAACTTTTTTCTATTCGGCATGATTCAAAATCATAAAATTATTTTCTGCTCAACCAAGGCAGTCATTTTTCTAAATCTGATAAGAGGAACCAGCATATTCTCCTTTACCGAATTGATGTATTCGAGATTCTAGCATTAAGAATAATTAGTTCTAAATGGGACAAAATTTACTATAACTTCTAGACTATATCAATTGTATTATGGAGCCGAGAAAAACCTTTTTGTTCAGAAACCAAGCATACGGCTGATATGTTTCCATTTACAAACTCATATCTATATTAATTTTTTATGTTTAGACCCACCTGCTCAGCTGTGGGCCTCGCATCAGCGTCCTTCTGAAGGCAAGCATCTACAAATGAACAAAACTCCGGAGAAAATTCCTTTTTTGACGGTGATGGCGATGGATCATCCAGGATCTGTCATCAAGACATGAAATATGACAGGTTAAATAACATCGTGGGTTTAAATATGACAGGTTAAATAAAATCCTGGAGTTGCCAGGCAGTTTTTCTTCACTTTTTAGCAGAAGTCCCCATTAAATAATATCATTCTACACTGAAAATGACAGGTAAATAACATTGTGGAGAAAACTCATTCAGCTTTCTGGTACAAGTAAATTATGCAGGCAATTGAACAAATGAGTCCAATCATACACTTTAACATTAAACAGGTAACTGAAACATCTGCTTAGAAACAAATAGAGGTCAAAAAGAATTGAAGGCACGGGACTTAAAGAGTAAGGAAATTCAAACCAAAAATGTAACGAACTAACCTGCAACATAAGATTTACTGGTCCTTCATTAGCTGTGTATGGGAATTCACCTGTACCACATTCGAAAAGTGCAAGACCAAGGCTCCATATATCAGCAGGATAAGAGTAGCTCTCATTCCTGATACGCTCTGGAGACATATAAGTGACAGTTCCAACAAAGGTAGCACACTGGAAAGGAAAACAGAAGATGATAACCTCAGGACAGTAGTCTTTTTGTTTCCAGTCATGAGGTTCACTGGTTTAAGAAGAAAATTGAAGAATTGGATGTAAGCACATTTTTACCATGGCAACTGAACTCTCCAAACCAGCACTTATACCAAAATCAGTTATCTTTGGTTCACCCTTCAGATTTACAAGCAAATTCGCAGGCTTTATGTCTCTGTGCACCAAATGTCTAACTCCGTGCAAGTAACTCAATCCCTAAAGAAGGAACAATCCCAGCATTTAGGCAGAAATACTCCATTCAACTGACTTTCTCAGTCAAAAAAGGACTAATTAACACTCATTACTCAGATTTCAAATACAATTGAGGAAATGTGTAAATTTGTGCATAATCTTATTGAGGGCCTTTGCCAACTTGAAGACACTATTAGAGCAAAGAGAAAAGATTGGTTTCAAGTTCATTTACTGAACAACAATTTCGAATCACAAGTGCAGATAAATAGTAAGTGTGAGATAGGAATGTTTACATGTAAGAGCTTTCGGACCATACAAGAAAGAAGTGGTTCCGGCACACATTTATGCTCTCGAATGACGTCTGCTAGAGATCCTCCATCCATGTACTCCAGAGCTATGCTTATTTGGCCAGAATCTGGAGTGTAAAAAGCTCCATAGAATTCTACAAGACCCTCATGACAGGGTGCCTCACATAAAGTTCTAATTTCATTAAGAAGCTGCTGCCGTTTTTCCTAACATGCAAAAACAATCCCAATGGACGTCAGATCTTAAACAGAAAAAGAATCTTCTAATGTTCATTGATACTGATGTGTGATTTTCTTATTTAAGCACAGGCCAATTATGCCAGCTTAAGAGTTCAAATTTGCCTAAGCCCTAAATTTTATCATGAAGAAACAAATGAAACAGTCAACCTGGATATAATTGCAATGAAACACAACGAGGGAAACCCAAAATAGAAATGCAAACCTTTTCAAATATATTAATTTTCTTCAAGGCTATTATTCTATGAGTCGGTATATGAATAGCTCTCTGAACAACACTGCTTGCACCACTACCTATGGCCCCAAAAATCCTCATCTCATAGGACGCGCACCGGTATGTCTTCTCAGCATGATCAGAGTCATCTACAGGCCAAGAAGGGCACTTTTGCAACCCAAGCTCATTAATGTTGTACATTCCATAAGATTGACTCAAGAGATTCACAGTTCCCCCCTCTGATAGCTTCAAAAGAATTTTAAAAAAAAAACAAAAAAAAACAAAGAAGTAAAACATTACAAACATGGAAGTAAGAGCGTTAACCACTCCATATACAATTTATGCAAATAGAGCAAAATTTTACCATATAAGAATCTGAAGGGTCCAATGTTGACCCGGATGGAAAGCCCTTTTCGGCATCAAACAATGGTACAAGCTTCTTCTTTAATTCCTCTAATCCGGCCATAGAAACAGTCCAGGAATTTGTCTACAGTAATCTGCTTCCACTGGAAGCAAGAAAGGAATAACAAATGACACATCTTTTTACAATGGGGGAGTTAAGGTTTTACAAATTACACTAGTCCCACAAGAATCAGACAGCAGCTAAGCTGTAATCAAAACTTGATACTCATCCTAATTGGCAATCACAAACAATCAAAATACGCAAATAATTGAATTGAAAAAATATAGAAGGGAAACAAAAAAAAAAATTAGAAAACAGAAGCCAACCTTATGCTGCTGCTACTCTGCTACTGATCCCATGTTTAGCAACGACCCAAATTCAGAGTGATTGATTCCATTTTCCCATTTCCCTCTCTCTCTCTTTTACTTTCAGAACCATTGGTGCTTTCTTTTTCTGTTTTCCCTTATTCGTTTTTTTTTTTTCACCCTTTCCGTTACAATGATAGTATAAATGCTTGTTTGCTTTGTCCAAATCCTCAAGGCTGCGTTATTTTATCCGGGAAAGGAATATGAGGGAAAAGAATTCTCGTATCTAATGAAAATTATCTATTCGTTAAACAAATTCTTTTTAATTATTTTTGCATGTTTTAAATATCAAAGATGCATTGGAATGCTAATTATTTGACCACTAGTTTTTCTTGTACAGAAATGAAATTTTTAAAGAAAATATAATTTTTTTTTTCTAAATTCACCACAATAAACTCTACTTAAATGTGAGTGAAAACCTTTACAAATCTATGATTGAATTCTAGTATGGCATCGATTTCCTTTGTGATGCTCAATAACTCGGTTATGATTTCGCTAGTGATATTTGTAGGTATGGTCACAATTTTATTGTAGTTTACTCGTGCGGTCTAAAGTGATTTAGAAATCGGAGATCTAACTATTAGATCTATAAATTTAAGAGTTTCATGTAATATTTAGTATTGTATTTTTTATCGAATTAAAATTTTGAAACTTTGTATTGATGTAGTGGATTCATATAAAATATACCACTGACATTATGACTGATTATAAGTTGTTTTTTTTTAAATATACCTTTTGTTATCGATCTCTACCGGACGATTTCCGGTAAATAAAAAGAAAAAGTTAATTGATATTGTGGAGCCTTTACTTAAACCTTAATTATAGGAGACATTACCGGCACGAAATCTCTACAAATAACCAAAAAAAAAAAATTATTATTCAGTTATTTACATTTTATATAAATGGTTCTATCAAAGCCTCCTAATTTACATTTTAGTTAATTTCTTGCCAGATGTTTAAAGACTTGTCTTTGCTTAAAATTTTAAATCTTATTTTCCTGCAATTTTAAAAGTAGTACTACCTCCATTCCTATATATAAGATGGACTTGATTAACTTTACACAAATCAATAAAACTAACAAAAATTAGTTTTTTGTCTTAAAAATATTATAAATTTTTCAAATTGTCCTTGATAACATTAATGAAGTGGTTAAATTAATTTTGAATTAATTAGTTGTGAGGGTAAAGAGAGAAAAAAACCATTAAATACTTTTTTGGAAATATAAAACTTTGTCCAAAACCTCTTATAATAAGAAATGGAGGTAGTATATCTCTAGTATATTTTTTTTCATAATTTTCTTTATTGTCAATGTGGGATTTTGTGAAAAGATCCCTATATACTTAATCACGTAAATTTATAATTTAATGCATAGTAGGATGATAGATAGACTTCTTTATTGCACTTATTTTTCAACAACTTGTTTTCTTTCAATTTAGTTGAGTGTATAATGAATTTGTCCTCATTATAGTTGTTTTAATGTTTGCTCAACCATTTTTCACCGGACAAGTCTTTTTTTTTTTTTTGAATTACCAATTGGTTTTTGCACTTCAAAAATATTAAAACAAGATTGAGTGCTTGTTTGGACGTCAACTTACATTTCATTTTGCCACTTAAAAGTGGAAAGTGTTTCAAATTGAAAACTAAATGAGAAATAAAAATGTTGTTTGGATGTTGGTTTTGAAAAAAAAGTATTTTGAACTACATTTTAAAATATCAAGTACAAGTCATCACTAAACAATTAAATACTGTCAATTACAGCCACTGCAAAAAAGAACATTTCAAAAACAATCACTTAACAACGGAATCCTACCAAATTTGTCACTGAATTATTTGTAGTTCTAAAATAGACATTACACTAACAAAAAGTGTTTCAAGTTAGAATTTAAAATGTAAATCAGAAAATTGTTTGGATAATATTTTTTTTTTCATTGGGTTTTGTGCTTAAGAGGTAAAATGAGTAAAAATGTAAACTGGAAGGGAGCCAATAATTGAAATAGCCTTCCTATCGAAATAATGTCCTAGTTCTAAAATTTTCTTGAACTGCATTTCTCAGATGGGGGGTCTATGAATATCGAATCCACCTCCTTTTGTCAATCGCAATTTGACATTACCAGCCTAATAATAAATCTAAGCGTATTCAAAAAATTAAGAACCAGATTTGTAAGCACAAACCGCAAACTAGAAACAAGAATCCATATCCATTAAAACTTAAAAGGCTTTATGTCCTATCATTACAAAATGGAAGTTTTCCTTCTCCTTTACAAATTGTGTTTCTTCACATTTTCATTTACTGTTACATTACATGAAACTATTTGACATCACAACACAATCTAAATGAGGCAGATCATGACCATGTAAGGCTGGACTGCATGTATAAATGAGGCTACTTAAAAAACTACTAGTATTCGATATCCCCACCCAATTCATTCGGGTCAAAAAGAACAAAAATTAAATCATTCAATTTCAATTGGCTGAGGCGATTCTTCGGACTGAATGTCGCCGCCACCATCACCATCTGTTTCAACTTGTTCTTTAGTGATCCCAGCAGCTTCAGCCGTCCTCGTTATCCATTCCCTCAATGGATCTTCATTCAGGTCAAGTCGTAGAAGCCCGGCAAACATCCCTCCCATAAACGCCACAGGCTCCTGAGTGAAGCAACAAAGAGGATGAGTCAATAACTACTAACCAGTTTAAAGAATAAAGTCTACGTAGAGTGCCAGAACTCAGAAGGTTCAAGAATTAACATATATACAACTTAAGAAAATCAATGCCAAACGAAGACATAAAAGAAAAAATATCAGATCATACTCATAGTATCCGAAACATTAAACATCAGCTCACAAGACTTCGTTGCTAAATCAAATAGTCCAATTCCAGCAGCTGAAAAATAGATACATGTGCAACTGTTTCCTCTTCCATATCCAAAACAAATATAGTCTTCCGGTAGCTGTCATGGGAACAATACTTGCATTCATACAAAATGCTTCTGGGATGAACAAGTTTAACGACTTGGATCATCAATCTTACAAGTTTGCAAAACCCCACCCTCTCTGGCCTTGGGATATAAGAAGGAAGTCAGTGGTGTACCTCAGTATCACACCAAGGAAGTCTAAAATCAAACCCAGATTCAAATGATAACCACACACACTACCTCTGACAGTCCACAACTTACTACTATCCTGGTAACCTAAGGATTCCCAACTGATGATCAACCACGACTAACTACTATCCTGGTAACCTAAGGATTCCCAACTGATGATCAACGGATATGGAACCAAAAAAAAAAGCCACTTTTCTTTTACTAACGCATAACATTTTTACAAGATATATCTAAAATTGAAACATCAAACACCCATGGATGAATGAACATGATAGGGAATACGCGATCAGAAGTGGTCACAAATACCAGAACAAAGCTAGAAAGCTAACCCCCCCCCCCCACACAAAAAAAAAAAAAAACCTAAAAAGAAGCCAATCATCACACGCAACATTTCATTAACGGGAAAAAAAGGGAAAAAAAAACAGGGAAGTAATGGAATTTTGTTGGGACTGAAATGAAAAAGAGGAGAGGAACACCTTGAGGGCATCCTTGATAATGGGGTCTTTGGCAGGATCAAAGAAAAAAGCTCCAACTTGAAACCCTTTTGCTTTCTTCTTCTGCTTTGATGATGATGCTGAAACTAAAGGAAGACCACCACCAGCCTTCCAACTCCACTGTTAAAGTATTCAAAGAATCAATTTTTTTTTTCCCTAGTCAACATTGAAACCGAGTCTATAGAATTCACCAGAAAAAAAAATATATATAATACCCTGACAAGAATTCATCAAAAAATAAAATTGAAGAAAGAAAGTATGAAGAACACATAGAAAGAATGAATTTTTTGAGGAGCTACATAATCGATAGAACAAATATAAATGAATAATACTCACCGGAGAAGGTGATAAAGATGACGAAGATGGAGATGGGGTGAAGGATAGAGGGCAATTGAGAAGAAAACCGGCGCCACTCTGCACCATTGTACCCATCTATCTTCTCCTTACTCCCTTTCAGCTGTCCTCACTTTCTCCTCATAGACTCACGGCATTGCAAAACCCGTTGTTCTATCTATACTGATTATTCTCCTTTGCCCCCTTTACCTTTGCCTATGTCTACATTACCCCTCACTAATAAAATGTTTCACTTACACCCCATCGTTTTATTTGAAGGGCATTTATTATTTATTTAATTGTTGATTGATTCGTTTGTTCACTTTTTTACTCTCACTTTTTTTAATAAAAAATTATCAATAAATAAATGAATAAACAAGGAATCGAACAATTTAGTTTATTTTATTTTATTCTACTATAAATACTTGTAATTATGAATATTGGTTTTAAAGCAATTGTTCCAAAAATTTATTTTGTAAATTCTTGAAAAAAACTATTACAAAACGTAACGCACTGATGTGTGAACTTATTATTTTAAATATGAAAAACGCAATTCTGCCTAGTGATATTTCACGACCACACTAGTGTATAAGTATAGATGGGCATTTGTTTTTCCCTACTATCTATCTAATAACATATAAAATCAAAATTAGACAAATAAAAATAGTTTTATACGTTCCAGTTCACTAACATAAAATCAACCTCTCACTCGATTGCCTGTAAATGATGTAAATGATGCATATTACGGAAAATTTACACAACTTACGATATTAATATTACTCATGAACCAATAAATTCATGCTAAAGGAATTACATGCAATCGATTATTTAAAGGATATCAAAGATAATGTAATGTAAATACAGTGAAATGTTAATAGAGAACTAATTCAATTGAGGTAACTAAGTTGGTCACCAGTGTCACCAACAATTGTTTTATGAAATTGAGTTAGATGTAGATCTTGGTTCAAAACTTGAACAGAACACCAATATAGTGGGTGGTGTTATTTTAAAGCTCCAAGGATCTGACGGAGAGTAGCGTTTTGAGGTACTATAATGGTATATGACTGGATATATAAGGATTTTAAGTTTGTAATGACGTAGGATTGAAAAAAAAAAAAGGAATTAAGGGGCTCAAAAAAAAAAAAACTAGTATGTCGAATGAAGAAGATTTGGTAGCACAGGGGCTAAAACGAAAATTTCTGTAAAAGAATATCTCTCCAAATCGAAGGGGGAAAAGCTGTGAACCCTTTTTTATTAACTTTGAGAGTGTTGGCATCGTCGTTCTTCACAGAAAGAGGCAGCCAAGTTTGACGACTGCACGACGCCGTATTGCTGCTCTGAAAATACTCCGCCCATTTCTTTTGGTTTTGGAGCCAAGATTCATATATATTTTTCCACTTATTTAGGTTGAAACTAGAAAAGAAACCAAAAAAGAAGAAGAAGAAAGGGAGAGATAAATTGGGACGACGGTAATGGATTTGGATCAGTGGATTTCGAAGGTGAAGGACGGGCAGCACTTGTCTGAGGACGAGCTTCAGCTTCTCTGCGAATACGTACGTGACTATTGTCAATGCTATTTTCTTTCGTTTTTTAAATTTTGGGTTTTTATTGTTTAGATGGAAATTGGTTGATGTTTCTTCTCTTTGTCTTTTGCTCTTTGATTTTTAATCTTTTAATTTGTAACCAATTGGTAGGTGGGTTCTGATTTATTCCAACTCCTTTGAACCGGTTAGGGTTCTTTATGGATATAATTGAGGGTTTTAGGTTGGGAAACTACCCCCTTTTATTTTGTTGATTTGTGTTTGGGTTTTTGGGTTTTCTAGTTTGAGTAGTTAGGTCAAGAATGATGCGTTTTAAGGATATCACTGACGCCTTGTTTTTGCCATTTTATGTGTGTGCGTACTAATATTTATAATGATTAAGAGCTCAACATTTGACGGGTACTGGGCAAGGTTTGGGCTTACAATGAGAGTAGGATTCGGGGGAGAGGAAAAAGGGGTACCATGGGGATCGAGTTATTCGGTATTCTCATAGTGCATCACATTGTGTCAACTATGGATGTATCACGCAGTGGCGAATGAGGAAGACCTGCCATTTCCGAACCCTCTTGACACTGCATTGTTAATCTGGAGCATTAGTTCGTAAATGATGAGGTTATTAGTGGGCCTTCACAAGTTCTTGCTATAATGTTATCAGCTGACATTTGACTTGCTTGGAGTCTTGGGTATTGCTTGGCTTTTCTTCCCCTTGTAATACTTGCAGCATGGAAGCTGTTCCCTCTTATTTGATAGAATTGGGTAAGTGAATTTACGGTCAGTGAGATAGGAAAACCCTAGCTTTAGCGATTTAAGAAAGACAGAGTCTTTAAAGCTTAAAAGCTTTAAATCATATTGATATCAAACATGAATCACAACTGCTGCTAGGATTGTCTGAAACTAATTACTCCCTCCATTTCAAAATGTAGGTCACTTTAGACTCTACACGTAAACTAAGGAGACAATCATTTAATAATTAATTTGTGTGTTAAATTTCTATTTTACCCATCATTAATTGTTTTGGAATTATAACCAATACTATATGAAAAGTGGTTATCATTATTTATTGGGGGCAAAGTTGGAAAGCTAGTCATAATTTGCCTTGAAATCATAAAGTGACCTACATTTTGAAATATTTCTCCAAATTTAAAACGACCTACATTTTGAAATGGAGGGAGTAGTAATTAACGTAATATAGCGAACGGGAAAGTAAACTAAAAGGAAACTTAATTCTAAGAAGATTCTAGTTGTTTCCTAAAACCTAATATGAAGCTGCATATATCTATGGAACCTTCCTGCATCATAAGTATAATGTGCATTTTGTTGCAGATATGGTTTTTGCTGAATGTTGCATGTATGCCTTCATGGTCATCATATGCTTACTGGTCATTACCTTTTGCAAGATCTTTTCTTGTCGACAAACACTACCTCGAAAGAAAAAAAAAAACCTTGAGATAGCTGGTTGTCACTGATTACTATCTGATACCGTTGTTGATTGTAAACTTGTGATATTTTAATTTCTTGCTTTGTGTCCTTTCAATGGCTTAGAATACAATATCTGAATGTATGTAGCATCATAGGAAATCATGGTTTAGCTTGAATTTTTGACCAGGCATTAATCCATTATTACAAATTAAAAAATGACTGCAGTTTCTAAATAGCTTGGGGCCTGTAATGATTTATGAAACAATGTCATAGCTGAATTAATACTACTGAAGATTTAGGTACCTGGTTCTGTTATTAGTTTTGAAATTTCGTGTTGTATGGTGGTGCAAAACTTTCCACTGAACACATTGGAATCTTGTAATGATTGTGTGGCTTCATTTTGTCGTTGTTTTTATGTTCTCCATTGCTTCAACTTTTCAGGTAAAGGAAATATTGATTGAAGAATCAAATGTGCAGCCAGTCAATAGTCCAGTGACAGTTTGTGGTGACATTCATGGCCAATTTCATGATCTAATGAAACTCTTTCAGACTGGAGGTCATGTGCCAGAGACAAATTATATCTTTATGGTACTTGCGCATTATTACTATCTATAAGGATGTTCTGTTTTATGTCACTGTGCTTATTGATGTTTTTTTTCTGAACATTCTTGTTTCTTTAGGGGGATTTTGTTGACCGTGGATATAATAGTCTAGAAGTTTTTACAATTCTGTTGCTTCTTAAGGCGAGGTACGTGCGATTATTTTATTTAGATGGTTTTGCGGTGCATTTACCTGTGATTGCTTGATTGGCTTGCTTTGCTTGCATACATGGAATATTCACCTGCTTTGGTTAAATTGTATTTGTACCAGATATCCTGCGAATATTACTCTTTTACGTGGAAATCACGAAAGCAGACAACTAACTCAGGTTCTCTATCCTTCTCTTCTCTTCTCTTAAATGTATATCTGTGTGTGTGTGTGTGTTTGTGGCTATATGCATATACAAATTTCAATTTGACTTATTTAACGTTGGATTCAGAGGTGCAATTAACTGATTAAGACCTTTTAGTTTTGTTCCCTTTGAGCTTGAATAACTAGCAGCTGCCAGATTTGTTTTTTAGTGACCCCTGCACTCAACTTTCTGTTTTTATTTGACCGGCCAGTTTTAAATGTTTACGGTTTCTTTAGTGCTTTATAATATATAGTATAGCTCTTACAAGAAACATGGCTGTCCGAACCTTATGTTTTATATTATTATATAACTTCGTTTGATAAGTGATTCATTTAGCCTTTATGTTTCTGCATTTCTTTAATGATTTTTCTGTCTTTTATGGATCCTTCTGTTTCAAATCCTCTTGTATTTCCTGGTTTAGTATGAAAGATCTTTATGTGGTGGCACTTGGGTCCCTTGTGCTACTTATACTATTGGAGGTGTTTTCCTCCGCCAAATAGCTGTAAATATGTATGCCATTAAAGGATGTTGCTCTTATGGAATTCAAAGTTCTGAGGAAATTGTCTATTGGTATAGGTGTATGGGTTCTACGATGAATGCCAGAGGAAATATGGAAATGCTAATGCTTGGCGGTATTGCACTGATGTGTTTGACTATCTTACATTATCAGCTATCATAGATGGAACAGTAAGCATTTCATCAATATTTTATGTCTCTGTTTGTTTGTATTATAATTACTTACAGGAGTTCCTATCTTATGAACTTATGGCATTTTACTTTCCTGGTGATAGGTATTATGTGTTCATGGCGGTCTCTCTCCTGATGTTAGAACTATTGACCAGGTTGGGTCAGCAACTGCTTCGTATATATTTTACTTTTATGCATGTTGTTGTAGCTTTATTACTCGTGGTTTAAAGCTATACAAGAAATACGTTTGCAGTATGTTGTAAAATTTGTGTGCCATTAAGGCACTAGTATCTTGCTATTAAATTTGTGTGCCATTGATATATAGCTAGTTTTATCATCTGCCTCAAATCTAGGTTAATGTTTAATCATGGGTAAAAATCTCTTTTTTTTGCTGTTTCTTTGATTAATGGTAATTGCATCCTCGCTTGCATGTGCGCCTCAATGTTTGATATGGGATCAGTAAATCATCTTCGTTTTGTTTCTGATGGAGGTCCCTGGCCTGTGGGGTTACATGCTTTCGTAACCAAGAGACTCATTTTCTTGAAACAAATCATCAATCAACTCTTTTAAGATGAAAGCAGAATGTGTCTGAGTGGCCTCGGCTTCTTTTACTTGAATTTAAATGGTAATATTCGCTTTGAAAGAGCACAGTGGCGACATATTGTCCATATAGCCTGCCCAACAGAGTGATAAGGGGATAGTTATCTTTTTTGCTTGTGATCACGTACTGTTTATTTTTCTTCTTTGCTACAAATATTCATGTTAACCTATATGAGAAATATTGTTGGAGTCAATAATTACTGTTTTTTGCTATTAAATCTTTGTTGCTGTTTCCTTCCTTTTGTACTTTTACCTTTTTGATGTAAGGATCTGTTAGGCTTATATGATATGTGAGATTTGCGACTGAAAACTTAAGACACATCTTTCCATCTAATTCCCCCATGAAAATGAACAACTTTGTCCGGTGAAGAATTTTGGATACAAACAAACAGTGTAAAGAAAATAAGCAGTTGACGTATCCTTTGAAGTATTTACCCTTGGCCTTGTGATTTTGTTACAATTGGCAGATTCGGGTGATAGAAAGGAATTGTGAAATACCCCATGAAGGACCCTTCTGTGACCTCATGTGGAGTGACCCTGAAGACATTGAAACATGGGCAGTCAGTCCCCGAGGAGCTGGCTGGCTTTTTGGGTCTAGAGTTACTTCCGAGGTGAGTTAATCTGTTATAATTTGCCTTGTCCACTGTGATCACTTACTGACTCTGTATCTTTGTTTTCTCTAGTTCAATCACATTAACAAACTGGACCTAGTGTGTCGGGCCCACCAGCTAGTGCAGGAAGGTTTAAAATACATGTTTCAAGATAAAGGACTTGTTACTGTAAGTTGCCTTATGTTTTGTGTCGTCTGTGTAACTATGAGGTTGCTTGGTATTTAACTGTGCCAACTGCCATTGTATGATATGGCTTTTCTTACTCCCCAGGTTTGGTCTGCACCAAATTATTGCTATCGTTGTGGAAATGTCGCCTCAATATTGAGTTTCAATGAGAATATGGTATCATTGCTGGAAACTTGATGCTTGTTCATACTTTCTTTTTTCTTGTAGGGTGTTTGTTGCTTTCCTGCGTAGTGAAATTTTAGTAAAAATGTTATGTGTTTGGCTGCATCAACCGCTCATGTTGTGTGCATCACAGGAAAGAGAGGTGAAGTTTTTCACTGAAACTGAGGAGAACAACCAGATGAGAGGACCAAGGACTGGAGTACCTTACTTCTTATAAGTCAGAAACTGGAAAATATTCATATTTTTACGTGGATAATGAGATGAATTTGACGAGTAGAGAGATGTGCTCGTTATGTCAGTGGGGAAAACGAGGGAAAAAGCACAGGTTTGGTACGATTGTAATTTCTGTGAAGCAGGTGACAAACAAGAAGCCCTGAGTGATTAGGGTGGACTAAGATAATTGAATTTGAATAGCAGATTTGTTTTTTGTGTATCTTACGCTTCCTTTTGCGTTCGTTTCTTTTTCTTTTAATGCCCCTTCTATATTTGGAGGTTGTAAAACTTTGTTTCACTTCATAGTTAAGAACTGATTGGATTACTGTTGTTGCTGTTATATCTTGTACTGCTAATATGGTTTTTCCAAATGGGAGGCAACAAACCAGTGGAGTACTAAAGTTTGACTATAATTGTAAAAGCGTAACTTTTCGGTGTTGGGATAAATGTTGGTTGCATCTCAATCTTAATTATTGACTATTATTGTGCTCTCTGGGTAACAATTAAGGCAATCCATGAAGGTGTACAGATTAACATCACAAGGAATCTCCTTTTTTCCATTTTTTTTTTTGAATGCCATTTCTTATTCTACAACTCCATGTAAATTTATGGATCGTTAATATTTTTTTTCTTATTATGATGCATTGTTGGGATTTTGAGAAGTATTTTAGCGGGATTAGTATAAAATTTGGTGGTCAAATACTATATTATTACTTTCGTACCAAAAAAATAGTCCACATTGAGTTTTCAAATTTGTACTAAAACCTACAAAATTCAAAATTCAATTTGGACTATTTTTTTGGCACGTATGACACTAATATATTTATGAAGTAGACAAGTGTGTTAGCGAGTGTAGTACAAGGTCTTGTTATATTCCAGTTTCGTAAAGGAAGTTTGTCCCTAAACATGGTCTAAGTTTCACAAAAATCGAAATTAATTTAAGTAAATGTAGAGTAAATCACTACACACAATTGAGCGGGTTGTTACTTGATTCCTTGACCTTAATTACAAAATTGTACATTCAAATTATAGTTTGGAATAGAGAACATTCTTTGAAGTGATTGATGAAGCTGTCACTAATTGAAGATGACGAAGAATTTAGGGAGTGATGTATCGTTCCATCCTGTTTTAATACAAATCTCAAAACTCAACGTGGATTATTATTATTATTTTTTTTTTAGACGGAGGTAGTAATATAGTTCAGAATTTATTTATATTAATTAAAAATTAAAACAACAAAATTGGACACTAGAAAGGAAGGGAATGAAAATTGAAAAAGCATCCCTGATGATACATTAAATATGAAAATGGACCCCGGAATAGCCCCAGCCCATTGCCTCGCTTATCTCAATCTTGGTTAATTCCGAAACGGCCCCAAAATTCTAGGTTTCTCTCCTACTTCAACCTCGTCCTTTCTCTGGTAAATTTCTTCCATTTGATTTCTCTTCTTAATTGCATCTTTTCTTTTCTCTTTTTTTCAATTCGAATTATTCCCACTATTTTGCGTCTCCGTGTTCATCGATTTTCATTTTTTTAATCTCATTTTCTTTGACTGAATCGACGTTAAATGATATTGATTTACTGATGGCGTGCACCGATGAATTTCGTTGCTTTTTTTGGATGTTATAAAAGAAGAGATTTTTACTATGACAATGTGATAGCTGCTGATTAACTTCAAATCAGCTGAATTTGCTAGTAATTTTTTTTTTTTTTAGTAGACTTTAAAATTTTGACTTTTTTTTTTTTGGGGGGTGATTTTCATGATGGGCGCTTATGGAAGAAGTTCACTTACTTAGTATGGTTTCAGTTGTTAAAGAGTTTAGCAGCCAATTTTGGGGTTCCTTCATATGGTTATATCAGTTGTTTGAGTGGCCAATTCTCTTGTATGTTTGTCTGCAGTTTCCCTGTACGGTAGATAGACTGTTATCCGGCTCATCAGCTAGGTTACTATACTTTTTTCTTTCTTTTTTTTTTTTGTATTTATTTATTTTGGACATTTCACTACAGCTTATATATGCACTTAAATTTGGTTTCTACATTTGTGGGAAAATAATATAGGTGTCACACTGAAGGCATGTGGGAAACAAAAATCATTCCTTTATATAATTAATCTTACTCTGTGGATAAGGGTTTTAGTTGAGTTATGAGTTTAATCGGATTAGAGGTTTAGAGTCTGTACAACTAAAGTTTTGGGTTTGTCTGACAATGAGTAGGTTAAATGTGGTTTACTCCAAGGAAAAAGGGAATAAAAAAGTTACATTTTCGAGATGACAAATTGGTTGGATTGTGGCTTAGTTGTTTGTTGTTGTTTGAAATATAGATTGCCTTTCGCAATTGTTCCACTTATCTTTTTTTTACCTTTGGTACCGACATTCTCAAGTATTCTAGACAAGAAAATGTTTCCTTGTGTGTGGCTTTCAGCCCGTGGTTCCTATGTAAATTTGATACCATAATCACCTGATTTTAAGTGCAAGTGTGAGGCGTGGACTGTATTGGACTTTCTTTTTCTTTCTCTTATTATTTGTTGTTTCTAAAAATTAGTATTTAGCTGTTTCTTCTGCCCGTTTGAAAATTCTCCCGTCCTTTGTATTGACTTCGCTCTGAATTGCTATTTATATAGTTTTTCTTCTATACGATTCTGGGTATTGCTTTATGGATAACTTGAACTTCTTTCTTTTGCATGATTAGTAAAGTAAAAAGGTATTCAATAAAACCTACCTGTATTATGTTTGTTGAGAACCTTTTCTGCCAAATTCAATGAAGCTGGACCAGTACATATAAAACAGAAAAGTGAAAGGATTTCTAGAGATAATTTTTGTTTGTTTTTTTTCTTGTCATTACATTTCCTTGTACGATTTGTATGTAATGTTTTGACAGAAATTGACAACACATATGGTCTATACAGCTCAAACGTAGTAGATCTCGTTTCTGTATGTGGATGTTCTATGTCCTATATATGGTTGGAGGCCATTTTCTGGATAGCTGAAACTTATTCTCATTTGTTTCCTTGTAAAATTTGAAGATATGTACTATGGTGAAGGGGAAACTGATACTAATTAGCCAGTGTGGCGGCGAATTTGTGAAGAATGATGATGGAACATTGTCTTATGATGGAGGAGAGGCTAATGCAATAAATATCAACAATGAGACATTGTTTGATGATCTGAAACTGAAGATTGCCGAGATGTACAACTTGGATTTGGCAACAATTACCGTGAAGTACTTCCTGCCAGGAAACCGGAGAAATCTAATCATGTTAAAAAATGATAAGGACCTAAAGAGGCTGCTTGATTTTCATGGAAATTCAGTGACGGCCGATGTCTTCATATCTGGCAAACAAGGGTTTGTTCGGCCCGCTGCACATATTGGTTCCACCGGGTATTTTCAAATGTTCTTTCTCGTTTTGGTGTTAGCTGCTTTTTTTCTAGTTTTAAAAAAGTGTTAATTATAGTGACATCTCCTGAGGTTTGAGTAATTCCAAAATCTCCCCCAAAGTTTGTTGAAAATACTACCCTGCATATCAGTTAGCTGGTGTGGTCAACTGTAGATTTGTGAGAATACTAAAATCTTGAGAATACTAAAATCTTTCCATCACTTGAACACTTCAGAGATCTCAGGGGTAAAATCCCCAAAGCAACTCAAATTTAGGATTGTCATCATTTTTTCGGGGTCACTGTTCTGACATTCAGCGATAGACCACTGGGTGGATGGATTGTCTGTTGTAGTTGGTTTACTGTATTAATTACACTACTTATAATGGTATCATTTGCAGGGGACTTGGGGTAAAGGTGGCTGAGTCTGTGGACAATTTACGCCCTTCCCCTCCGACAGCTGTTGATGGTGGCACCCCTGTGATGGTTTCGGACACTTTGGTTGATGTCAATGTTATTATGGAGAGCCCTGGCCAAACCACGAGCACCTCAACTCCTTCCTCCGCTGATGATGGTGAAGCTGATGGTGATTCTGATTATGCTCCGCAGCGCCATGTATCTGTTGCTGATGACACTGGCCACATACATGTCAACTTCAATGTGGGTAGCACTCCGGCAGATACCGTTAAGAAGAGAAGGCGCAATGCTGCTTCGAAAGTCGGTGGCAAGGTCACAGTCATCACCTCAGATGCTGATGATGATATTCAGGAGGCAAATAGATCTCGAAAGAAGAATGGTAGAGGGAGGAAAGTTGTTTTAGTAGATGATGAAGAGACGGGATTGAAAGGAGTTCCCATATCAGAGGATTTTGATAGTTCGTATACTCTTGTTATTCCTGATCAAGATTTACCAGAAAATCTTGTTGCATCATGGAGAGATGGTATTACGGGTGTTGGTCAGGATTTTGAAAGTGTGAAAGAGTTTCGTGATGTCCTGCAGAAATATGCTATTGCTCATCGATTTGTCTACAGATTGAAAAAGAATGATACAAATCGTGCCAGCGGTGTTTGTGTTGGTGAAGGCTGTCCTTGGAGGATCCATGCATCTTGGGTTCCTGCATCTCAATCGTTTAGGATCAAGAAATTTGATAATCAGCACACTTGCGGTGGGGAAGCTTGGAAATCCGCTCATCCTGGAAGGAACTGGTTGGTTAGCATCATAAAAGAAAGGTTACGAGAGTCCCCACATCACAAGCCTAAGGATATTGCCAATGGCATTTTACGGGACTTTGGGATTGAATTAAATTACACGCAGGTGTGGCGAGGATTAGAGCATGCTAGGGAGCAGCTTCAAGGTTCGTACAAAGATTCATATAATCAGTTGCCTTCTTTTTGTGAGAAAGTTATGGAGACAAATCCTGGTAGCTTTGCGAAACTTATTACGAAAGATGACAAAAGGTTTCAATGCCTTTTTGTTTCATTTCACGGCTTGATACATGGATTCCTTAATGGCTGCCGCCCAATTTGTTTTCTTGGATCAACATTATTACGATCCAAATACCAGGAAATTCTGCTGACTGCAACTGCTATTGATGCTGATGATGGGTTCTTCCCAGTTGCATTTGCAATAGTTGATGTCGAAAACAATGATAATTGGAGATGGTTTCTGGAACAACTGAAATCTGCATTGTCAACTTCACAGCCAATCACTTTCGTCTCGGATAAGGATAAAAATTTGAAGAGCTGTGTTCTGGAAGTGTTTGATAACGCTTATCATGGCTATTCAATGTTCCACCTGGTGGAAAGCTTTCGTAGGAGCTTGAGGGGCCCATTTAATTGTGCCGATGGAAGAGGGGTTTTACCCGGTATTCTTCTTGATGCTGCACGTGCAGTTCGCCTTGGCGGTTACCAGAAAATAATGGAGCAAATTAAGCATATATCTTCACAAGCGTATGATTGGATAATCCAGGTTGAGCCTGAGGGTTGGACGAGTTTGTTATTTCAAGGTGAACCCTATAACCATATTGTGGAGAATGTTTCTGAAACATATGCCAAGTTAATGGAGGAGGTGCAGGAAGCTGCAATAATGCAGAAGATCGAGGCTCTCGTGCATATGATAACTGATTTGGTTGAAAATCGTCAAACCCGATCTAACACATGGTCGACCAAATTGACGCCATCAATAGAGAAAAAGCTACAGGAAGCTATGCTTAAAGCACGTCGTCTGAAAGTGTTGTTCTCGTCTGACGTCCTTGCTGAGGTTCATGATGATTGTGTTCATGTTGTAAACATTGAAAACAAGGAATGCACTTGCCTTGAATGGAAAGAAAATGGGCTACCTTGTCGTCATGCCCTTGCAGTCTTGAACAGTAAGGGTAAACATATATACGACTATTGCCCAAAGCATTATACAGTAGAGCGCTACCGTTCAACATATTCTGTGTCTGTTAACCCCATACCTGCCATCAGCCAGCCAGAAGAAAAAGAAGAGACTGCTGGTGATGATGAAGACTCTGCAGAGGTGCTTCCCCCTGATCCTCCTAAATTAACCACCCAAGAAAAGAGGGAAATTGCCAGAATGGAAGCTTTGGCATTGAATAGGCGGACGGTCACTTGCACTAGGTGCAAAGAACCGGGACATAATAAAGCTTCCTGCAAAGCAACATTGTGATTTTAGTTAATTTTTATGTTTCTCCGTCGTTGTTGTGCATGCTGTAAGCTTGTATCATATAGCTCACCGTTGCACTTGTCGGTGTTCGATGGGAAAGTGTATCCTAGCTGCTTCTCAAGCATGTTGGTGCAGTGCCCTTCAGCTCCAATAGTTGTGACTACTTGACTAGTTGGTAATGTAGGATGGCATTATTACGGTAGTAAAAACTATTCTTTTAGGTCTTTTTTTTTTCACCTGAATAGGTTTCAATTTTTAGTATTGTAGATTTTCTTTCCTCCAATTTTCTCTGCTTGCAATAGCTTAAATTATGATGAATCTGTTAAACAAAATGCCACAGGAAGAATCAAATACGCTGAATTAGGATGGGCATGTATACATGTTCAAAGCTGTTGTTGGTGGATAGGTTAGGTAAGGTAATATGTTCAAAGAAAGTAGAAACTTGAGGCCCAATAGGATTGGATGATTTCAATTTTCAACTGTCCGGTATTCCCCACCTACCTACCACCACCATTCACTACCAACCAACCCCCATTTGCTGAATGGTGGACGCTGGATTTGAAGAATAACAACGAGAGGTAAAAATCAACATTCCATTCACTCATCGGACTCGGACTCCCTCCAATCTAAGATGATGTCAGACTCAGTGATGAATCCAACTGCTGTCATCACTTGCACAGGTAAATGCATGGAGCACTACACATTTCTGACTAGTGTTTCGAATGGCTTTTGTTTTTGCCCAACAGTTGTGATTGTTTTACCCATGCAGCTGCTGTGGCATGGGGAGCTGGAGAACCATTGGTGATGGAGGAAGTTCAAGTCAGCCCTCCTGAGGCGATGGAGATTCGCATTAAGGTTGTAGCAACTTCACTTTGTCGCAGTGACATCACGGCTTGGCTTTCTCTGGTAAATCTTCATCATCCATGTCCCTACCATTCCTTACTTTTGTGGGCCTTTTTTAATTGTTTTCCCACTGGTAACTAAGAACTAGGGGCTCTCGTTTATTAATCAGGCACATACACACACACATGGATGCACTCCAAAAAGAAAATGAAAAAACTGGAAAGTGAGAAGAAATTGTGCATAAGATTACTATCTCCATAAATATGTAGAATATGCTTGACATAAGTATTTGGACTGGATGGGGGAATACTTTGAGAGAAAATTGAGCGGCGCTTCAACACTAGTCTCAACCATTCTCAGCCCATAGTATTGTTTTATTCGCATCATTTTCTATCTTTGCTAAGGTTCAAGTTTCCTTTTTGAAAGACGAGTAAGTTACCCTCTTTGCACGAACAATATCTAGTTCAATGATCTGTTTATGCAGGCACAATCTCACATGTTTCCTCGGATTTTTGGCCACGAAGCCTCAGGGTGAGCCCTACTCATATCAGTATCTGTAGATTTTATATGAATATGCACGTTCTTGGTATGTTTAATGGCATTGCTCTTTGGACTAAGCTTGTTTTCCATGGACTAAGCTTTTTATGTTTATGTTTGATGGCATTGCTCTTTGAAGTCTTACAGAGTTTAGAGATTCAAATATGATTTCATTTCCTAATGCGTTAAACATCAATCTTTTCACCTGGTTAATCCTATGCATAAGCAGCTCTAAGATGTCCCTGGTTTTGATAGTTTTGAAGTCTATTTTTGTAACTTTTTGTTTTCCATCCAAGTTTGTGTGCTGTAAATGGGATTTCTCTCACCTGTTATCTATATAAATCGAAAAACCATCCGTTTGCCTGTTGTACAATTAAATGTCCTCATATTTGTCAACAATAGGGAATATATACTGTGATTTTTTCAAGATCATCTACTTGTAAAGTAACAATTTTTTATTTCCTCTCTGGTTGTGCAGTATTGTTGAGAGTGTGGGCCAAGGAGTAACAGAATTTGAACCAGGGGATCATGTTCTAACGCTATTTACTGGAGAATGCATGAGATGTAGACACTGCACCTCAGGTAAAAGTAACATTTGCCAGACGCTGGGATTGGAAAGGAGAGGTGTGATGCACAGTGATCAGAAAACTCGCTTCTCGATTAAAGGGAGGCCCATTTTCCACTATTGTGCAGTTTCAAGTTTCAGCGAGTATACGGTAGTGCATTCTGGATGTGCTGTAAAAGTTAGCTCCACTGCACCTCTTGAGAGAATTTGCCTCCTTAGTTGTGGAGTCTCTGCAGGTACCATTCACCATTTTATGCTTTCATGCTTGTTTAGATATGACATGGATCTTATGAATGATTGTGCTAGTTTCAGTATTAAAAATCTTGTTAATTGCTACAAATGATAGGGATCAAAATGAAAACACGTCTATTTATTTCTCTTGCTTGAATTTGGACATGATAATTCAACAAGGCTCAAGGCTGCCCCTGTCATGCTGAAATGATAAGTATCGTACAATTGGTCAAGTAAAACATAGGAAGTGCAGTTGTTACGATATTGTCCACCAAATTGACTTGTGTGTTTACCATTCAAGCAGAAGATATGATGACCACCTCTTTTGCTTAGGATGTTGAAATTAAAAGGAGGGAATAGAAGTTTAGAATTTGCTACTTCTAAGGTCATTATTGCCCATGCAGAAAATTGCAAAATGGGGCAATATCAATGGCAGCTATATGTAGTTAGTAGTAATGTTTTGCGATCTCTCTCTCTCTCTCTCTCTCTCTCTCTCTCTTTCTCTGTCTCTTCCTTCTTTTTTGTCCTTTTGTTTTCATCTTTAAAGTTCTGGTTGAGTTTTGTTCCAAGGTTTCTTGTTTGTTCTCAACTTTATTCTTAGGACTAGGTGCAGCTTGGAAGGTTGCTAATATATCTGAAGGGTCGACAGTGGCGATATTCGGTCTCGGAACTGTTGGTCTTTCTGTGGGTATATTGACTTTGAGCATCATAAGTTAACATCTGACAAAGAAATCAATCTGCTTATTATTGTTCACAAGCTTCCTTTTAACAGGTTGCTCAAGGTGCCAAGCTGCGGGGAGCTTCTTGTATCATTGGTGTTGACACTAACCCTGGAAAGATTGAAAAAGGTGAACATCTTTTTTTCTTTTCGATTGCTGTTTACTTCCCTTTTTTTCAAAAAAAAAAAAAAACTGTAGTGTTCAAGGAGGAAATTAATCATTTTCCGTAATGATGCAGCAAAGACTTTTGGAGTGACAGAATTTATAAACCCAAATGAATGTGAAGAACCAATTCAGCAGGTGTGTTTCTGTTGTTTTTTAGCCTTTTGCACATGCTTTTGTTTGAATTAGACAGTGAATAACATGAGCAGAGGACGGGTGTTTTGATATAGCAATTGATGTCCTTTCTTCCGGGCTGGTGCTGCCTGTGTGTTTAGCACTTCCTTTCAATCTTGTTTTGGTTTGTTTGATTAAAGCAGTGGAGAAATGTTTCCCAGGTCATTAAACGCATCACTGGTGGCGGGGCAGATTATTGTTTTGAATGCGTTGGAGACACAGAAGTGATAACCACTGCACTGCAGTGTTGTTCCGATGTAAATGTCTCCTCTTTTAAATGATGATAGCTAAGCTAGCCTTGTGGCATGGACAACAATGCCCTTGTTGGCGCATTTCTAATTAAAACTGATTCCAGTCGATTGTTTTTTTGGATGCATTTTTAATGTGTGTTCAAAGGGATGGGGTGTGACGGTAACGCTCGGGGTCCCGAAAGCAAACCCAGAGGTTGCAGCTCATTACGCATTATTTCTCAGCGGAAGGACATTGAAAGGGTCTCTATTTGGAGGATGGAAACCAAAATCTGATGTTCCCTCACTGGTGGGCATGTACCTGAATAAGGTAACTACTTCTCTGATATACTCTATTTTGGTCGTCACAAAGTCGTGGCGCTGCAGGAATCAGTAAATTCCAACAATTTAAGAGTAGTTTTTAAGAAAAGCATAAAATGAAGTAGCGAGATCTGTTTTTACTTTGATTTATGCAATGCTTGAAGAAGACGCATAAAATTGTACGCTCATTCTATATCTTGACTTGAGCATGCTTTTATCAATGGGGGAATATGGTTTCAGGAAATAGAGGTGGATGAAATGGTGACACATGATATTGGATTTGAGGATATTAATAGAGCTTTTGATCTGATGAGGGATGGCAAGTGCTTGCGTTGTGTGATTCACGTATGTCCCCCTCGCTCGGCCTCAGATGATAATGGATGATGATGATGATGATGATGATGCCTAGTGTAGTAGTATTTTATTTTTTAGTATGTAAAAATCAATCTCCTCCGGTAATACTACTACTAGAAGAATAATTTGTGCAATGTTGCATCATATAGTGTTTTTGGTTTTTTACTATCGCCTATGTCCCAAAATTATTCTTTAGTTTGAGATTTCACTTTTAGTACAATTTGAACTAAAAATGAAAACCCAAGACTGGACATGCCACGGGAGAGAGTATATTGCAAAGTGCTTTAATTAAGAGCGTGTGATTTGCTGCTATCTTCTTTGCCATTGTGGAACATGTAGAAAAATGTTTGTAAACCAAAAAAAAAAAAAAAACAGAGGTGTCATTCATACTATACAATACTGTATTATTGTTTGTTCCTCGGGGATATATAGGTATTGAGGTAAGAGATCAAATATGTAAATTTTTTACCTATTATAGTTTTTGCTTCCTTACGTAATTTTCTTTTCTTAATGATTCCGAAGAGATTTCCTCCCTCTCAAAAAAAAAAGAAAGGAAAATTGATAGGATAAATTATCTCTGTAAAGTTGTAAAGTTTTGAAAAAGAGAAACGATGGAAAATGATATTCCTGTTGTGTGTAATTTTTGGTGTCTACCGTTGGTAACTGCGGCAATAGTAACTAATCTTCTCGCTGGTTCGCTCGAACCCTGGACCTATGGTTAATGATGGAGGAGTTTATTCCATTTCACCACAACCACTTTGGTTCCTGATGCGTGTAATTTGTTTAGGACAAAAGAAAAGAAATGAAAACACTATGTTATGAAGTTGTTGGGCCGGAAAACTCATGTCTAGCCCAAATGAATTAAACTCCCTTCCATTACATTAAAAACGACTAGTGTTTTTTACTTTCTGCCTGAAACGTGAGCCGGAGTTTCCCGGCGGCATCTCAATGTGGCGTCCGGCTGTTCGTAATCTCCTTCTCCGCCGCCGTTGCCTCGACGGCAGCCACACCTTACCTCTAGTTATGTGGTCCTCTTCCGCCGCCACCGGCAGATATACAAAAGGCAGCAGGCTGTCGATATGGAGGAGGAAGAAGGAAATTGGGAAGGAAGGACTGATGGTTGCTAAAGAGCTCAAACGTCTCCAGAACGATCCTTTCCGGTTTGACCGGTTCCTAAAATCCCACGTCTCCAGACTCCTCAAGTCCGACCTTGTTTCTGTCCTCGCTGAGTTTCAGAGGCAAGACCTCGTCTTGCTCTCTCTCAAGGTCAATCATCATCTTTTTTTTTTTTTTTTTTTTTTCCGTTCTAGAACGTTTCTCGTATGGAATTGAATTCTCAGAGTGCATGATGAATCGAATAGCCAATACTTATTATGAGGGATAGTTTCAGATTGTGGAATTCAGCCATTTTTCTTTATTTACCACTGAGAATTAGTACTGTTCATTCGAGAGAGTCAAAGCTCATTTAGTTTAGTGACTGGTTAAAATGTTGATTTTGAGTCATAAAAAAAATAATCGGCGGGGTGATTGTTCATTTGGTGAACCTTGCACGGAAGGGTTAAAAGTGTTTGTTTGTTGGCTGTCTGGATTGCTGTTCATATGAGATTTTAGTATGGAGAACTAAAAGGGGACTCGAAAGCTTACTGGACTGAGATATTGAGAGATTGGAAATATTATTTGAGTTTGAAGAACTTAAAAGACATCACTTGGGGGGAGTTGGAAGGCAGTGTTTATGATTCCTTTCATATGATATTGACATTAATTATTTCGAGCCCTTCACTTGCACCTTTTCATTGCTAATTAGAAATTCAGGAGAAAAATTTGTTATCATTTGATAAAGAATGAAGTCAATGGATCTTAGTAACCAAGTGAGCTCTTGTTTCTCGATTGGGGGCAATGTGGAACTAATATAGGTTGGCTTATCCTCACCAGTAGTTACCAAGTTTATGGCGATGATGGGATATTTGGTAACAACGGCCTCATGTTCGAGTTTGGGGGTCACTGTAGCAAGTTCGTTTAATTCGATAGCGTCACTATCAGACTTAGGATCAGCTTCGTACCCTAGAGACAACTTATCAGTTAACTTCAAGATTCCGAGTTCTCAACCTTCATTATTGCACTAGTCAAGGTCACAAATGCAAATCAACCGAGTGAATGTAGAAACACATCCTCAGTCAAATTAGCCTGGCACCAACATTATTAATAGGCTAGAATTTTTGAGGATCTTACGTCAAACTATTTTTATATTTATTTGACCTTGACAAATCTGTCTAGTGCAAAAGGATATTTTTTTTTATTATTATTATTATCAATCTGTTGCCTACATGCCATGGAATTGCAGATCAATTTTACAAAATGAAGTAATAATTTTCTATCTCTGCTTACCTACGAGCAGCCAGTGTTCATAGATTGGGTATTCTGATCTTAAACTCTGAATTGGGAGGATGGTTGAATTAAGCCGGAGGTTATATCAAATGGTAGTCATGATTTTTTATTGCTGTGACTTTTTCCTCAACCTGTCTTTTTTTTTTTTTTTCTTCCCGGTTGTGTGACACTAAGCTAGTTGATTTGTTGCTAACTTTAGCTAGGTCAATATTGGGTCAAGTAAAGTTTTGACTGCTTTGCCACAGTCACCTTGTGTGACATATCTCTATAACACTTCCTGACCCTATATCTGAGTTTGCTGATGGTTATTATTTGATGTTTGCACCAGTTGTATGATGTGGTCCGCAAAGAGATTTGGTACAGGCCAGATATGTTCTTCTACAGGGATATGCTCCTCATGCTTGCTAGAAATAAGAGGGTAGATGAAGCAGCCAAAGTATGGGACGATTTGAAGAGCGAAGGCGTGCTTTTTGATCAGCATACCTTTGGTGATCTCATCAGGGCATTTCTAGACAGCAGTCTACCCAATGAAGCAATGCAAATCTACGAGGAGATGCGGATGTCACCTGATCCCCCATTGTCCTTGCCTTATCGAGTCATCCTGAAAGGCCTTCTTCCGTATCCTGAATTGAGGGAAAAAGTTAAAGATGACTTCTTGGAGCTTTTCCCTGGCATGATCATTTATGATCCACCCGAGGACTTGTTTAATGATCACGAATCTGAAATGGATGAAGACTATTCAGATGAGTAAAAATGAATATAGTGGCGTCAAACTGAAATGCAATGACAGGAAAAAAGCGATCTTATGCGCTGCCGGCAGTTGAAATTATGTTGTGAAGGGCAGAGTACTACAAGGGAAAGCCCCCATGTTGCTTGATGTAGGGCTGCCGACGAGGATTTGCTTTCATTTCTGATGCTCTGCTTTGCAGTTTCTCAGTAGATGGCCTCAATTTGCATTCAAGACTGATTACTGTGAGAGAATGGCTTGGTGGAAGTTTGTCCTGAAGAATTGTTTACCCACAGTGATGGATTAATAACCCAGACAACACCTTGCAGGTGTGTAGCCCGTCCAACCAATGGTAGTGTATCTTGTAGGTTTGCACTTTGCAGTGTTGAAAAGAAGAATGTAAAGAAGGTGCTGTACCCTCCATATGAATCTAGTTGGGAGGATTTTACTCTATTTTCATCTGGTGGTGTCATGTGAATGTAATTGGTTTTCTTTTCGCAAACTCTTTGGCCAATATTTTCCCCGTAAAATGGTAGATGATGAAGGTATCAAATTCTGTTAAGCGTGATGTTTGACAGGTTTGGACAACAACAAAAAGAGAACGAACACATAATGCCGTACATGTTTGGTATTACTCTCAAGTCTCATCCTGGCTCCGATAGGCCAAAAAAACAATTCCTCCCCCTAGCATAGCAGACCTCTGGTGACCAAGGGCCATGCAGCAGCGCTATACACACATGCACTCCAATGTAAATGTACAGCATCCTAGCTTTTCATACATGGACTTGAGGACGGCTTCAAAGGGGAAGAGAAGCTGCTGGTGCAGCTGCCTATGTTGGACAATCAGCATCCTCCTCCTTCTGCTGATCATTCTTGGGGCCATCATTGCTGTTATCTACCTTGTGTTTCGACCTAAGATTCCCAATTACTCAGTTGACAACCTCAGGATATGCGGTTTGAGACTCAATTTCGATTTAAGTCTTTACGCCAGATTTAATGTAAGGATCACTGCCTATAGTCTGAACAAAAAGATCGGGATATACTATGAGAAAGGGAGCCAGTTGAGTGTGTGGTACAAAAGCAGTAAGCTATGCCAAGGGTCGCCAACGACAACAACAACAAGCTTTATGCCCAGGGCCAACAACAACAATAAGCTCTTTTTCCACTAGGTAGAGTCGACTATATGGATCTTATGTCGCCATCGTGCTCGATCACTGCATAAATCATCAATCGGTCAAATTTAAATATTTTAAATCATTTTTTTATAATTTCTTTCTATATTTTCTTGGATCTACTCCCATCCCTTTTAATTTGAATTATTGATTCTATAGTTTCTAATTTCTACCCAAATTTTACCAAAGGCCACTTCCCATTTACCAAGGGTACTAGAACAAGACAGTAGTTTGTTGTCTGCCCTGCAGGAGGCCCAACAAACAGGAAGGATCCCGTTGGATCGTAAGATCAACGTACCTCTGCGGATTGAGACCGAAAGCTGAAGTTGAAGAAGGTGCGGATATTGCAAACCTGTGTGTTAATTGTGGACAATCTATCTACCAATAGCTTAATAAGCATTAAGGCTAGTACATGCAAGTTCAAGGTGAAACTTTAGAGATCCTAAATTTGCATGCTTAAATTTACATGCAAGTTCAAGAGTCGTCTTGCTTTGTCCTCAAGTGCGTTAGTAATGATGATTTATGTTCATTTTGTAAACATTGCTTTGTAGATTTTGTCTACTTTAGCAACAGAGGCTCAACATTGATTTATCAATACTTTCGTTTGCAAAGCCACATCCAGCATAAGCGCGAAACAACAATTGTACCACTGATTTTGCACTTAAAGGTGGGAATTTCACATGAAATAGAACAAGTTGACAGTTGTGACAAAAATTAATGCCGACTAGTATTATGCCTGTACATTGTGAGAATTTTAAAATATTTTAAAGTAATATTAAAGTACTATTACTTTCCTGTGAAAAGTGTCATATGATTTTGCTGTTTTTTTAATTTTTGTATATTATGCATCAGGTGTCTGAAATCAAGAGTGTCATATGTTTTTTTATACTATGTACCTGTTGTCCGAAATCATTGCTCTGAATAATCCAGATTCAAATCGAGTAGGTCCCTTTAGAAAAATAAATCTCTACCAACAATCACTACTACATACCCGTGCTCAGGTTTAATCCGGAATCATAGTTAAGTTGGTCCAATACCTTTATCACTTTGACCAGCTGTTTTTTGGTAATATGAATTCCTAAATACAAATTACTATGAACAACAGTCTAATCTGCTATTTGTTTAGAAATATTAGTATATCAAATTTTTTTTTTCTAAATACAAATTCATATGATCGACTGTCTAATCTACTGTTTGTTTAGGGATATTTGTATATCAAAATTATTTTCAACAATCAAAATCAAATCATGTATTAAAAATACAATAATTGAATTGCATATATTCTTTATTGTTAGAATTGAAGGAATTATTATAAATCTTGATTCTGTTGTTTTCAATAAATCAGTCAATAACAATCAATTTGATTATCGTTTTTGCCTCAAAGTCAAAAATTTAAGAAGCAATTCGATCTTTCCAAGAAAAGAAATACTTAATTTCTAATATAATTACAACTAAATTTTTTTTTTAACCGTAAGAATATTGTTATCGTAAAAGCATGGTGACTCTACAAAAATAAAAATTTTGGCATTGTTCAACAACATTAGGTACTTTATAAAAACCAACATTACGATCCGTAAGTATAGAATATTTTGAAGGAAAAATCTCAAAAGTTTGTAAAAGACCAGAATATATATGGGACTCAAATGAGTTTTGACAAAAAATAAACATCATAAAAATCAAATATTGAATCCTTTAGGAGGTTGAATTGGTATTTATTATTTTATAGATATATTTAAGCATGAAGCAAATTGAAAACAAACTCCAACAAAAGTAAATAAAACACAACAATAGAATTTTTTTTTTTTTTAAAAAAGCTAATAAATACATATTTATATCTTTTCATCAAACTTTTTTCCTTAGTTATGAGTGATTCTTGAGGTACTCATTTCAGTCATTTGTCATCATGATGCCACACTTCTCTCGTAAAACAAAGCACATAGATACTCATGCGCTTAAAGTAATATATTTAGTTAGTTGATATCTCACACAAAGTATATATTTACCTTCAAACTCTAGAGTGTGAGCAATTTTGTTTTAGTATATTTGGCTCATTTGGAGCGAGATTGATGCTTAATATTTTTAACTCAATTCATTAAAATTTTATAAAAACATCGGTGCAAAAGCATACTAAAATGAGGCCCTCATGATTATTTAAAGAGTGAACCTTAAAACAAGTCATCAACCTTAATATATTTCCACTCTAGGTCATCAATTAAATTTATTTGTAACACAGGTTACCTTACTAAAGTTTTAATCCATTTCAGATTATTCTGTTAATTTGGGCCGTTAAATAGTGACGGAAATCTATTTTTCACATGCTTTTGAGTTCAGGAGTATTTTTGTCATTTTATTATTTTATTATTTTTTAATCTTTGAAATTTTTTTTTTTTTTTACAATTCTTCTTCTGATACTTCCTAACTTGTATACACTGGTAGTATAATTCTAAAATTTAACAATTTATTTTTCTTTTGTATTTTAACTTCTAGATTATAAAAAAAATTTTAAAAAAATTAAGAAATGAAGAAGAAAAATTCGAGTTAAAGTAAACATGAAAATTAATAATTTACTATTTTAAACAAAAAGAAAAACTAAAAGAATTAGCTAAGACAAGTTGTTTCTTCTAGGTTATTTAATTTTTTTCAACTCGATAGAATTATTTAATTATTAATTTTCACATTTCTTATTCCTTTTTTTTTAGAATCTAGAAGTTAAGATACAAATGACAAACAAATTCATTTTTGAAAATTAATTTGTCATTTGTATCTTAGCTTGTAGATTATTAATAAAAAAGAATAAGAAACATGAAAATTAATAATTAAATAATTCAATCGAGTTGAAAAAAATTAAATAACCTAGAAGATACAACTTGTCTTAGCTAATTCTTTTAGTTTTTCTTTTTGTTTAAAATAGTAAATTATTAATTTTCATGTTTACTTTAACTCGAATTTTTCTTCATTTCTTAAATTTTTTTAAAAAATTTTTATAATTTAGAAGTTAAAATACAAAAGGAAAATTAATTTTAAAATTTAGAATTATACTACCAGTATATACAAGTTAGGAAGTATAAGAAGAAGAATTGTAAAAAAAAAAAAATTAAAAGATTAAAAAATAAAAAATAAGAAAATGACAAAAATACCACTAAACCCAAAAACATGTGAAAAATAGATTTCCGTCACTATTTAACGGCCAAAACTAACAGAATAATCTAAAATGGATTAAAATTTTAGTAAGGTAACCTGTGTTACAAATAAATTTAATTGATGACCTAGAGTGGAAATATATTAAAGATTGATGACTTGTTTTGAGGTTCACTCTTATTTAAATTAAAAATAAAAATTGACCATTTACACTAATATATTTGCCAATGACAGACTATATATAGAAATAATCCTTAAAATGAAAAATATAATGCATGTTCAAAAATAATGTCTCCCTCCAAAAAATAAAAGATATGTTCAATAGTAGTGAATTTTTTCTTATAATCCCGAACCATAAACTATAAGATAAAATGATGAGTCGAAAATTCAAAATAAAGTGAAAAAAATTCATGTAGATTTTCTCAGCCGATGAATATTTTGTCAACATAAGCATAATTATAAATATCAATTTAAACAAGAGTGAATCATATTAAAAGTACAATTTACAATATCAATCGAAACCCATCTAACTCCGTTTTTAACTAAAAAACGAAAAATATACTTCGAAAAATACAACTTAACAGAGAGAAAAGGTATGTGTATTCAAAGGAAAAGAAGATTGAGATGGAAGGGAAGGAGGGAAGGGAAAGAGATGGAGGACGCGAAGAGAAGGAAAGGAGAGGAAGGAATGAGAACTTATCTTTTTATTTTAAG